CTATGTTCTCTTTAGGAGAGACAGGGTAAATAGGAAAGGTGGTGGTGTCTGTCTCCAAGTGAGAAGTGATCTCCGAGCAAGTGTGAAAGAGGACCTAGTTGATGGAGAGTGTGATGAGGCTGAAGCATTATGGGTGGAACTGGACATGGGGAGTGCGTACTACAAAGGTAATCATTGAAGTTTGTTATAGGCCTTCTAGTGTTAATGAGGAGATCGAATGGGACAGTGATAATAATGGGGAATTTAAACTACATGGAAATTGACTAGAGTAATGGTACTGCAGGAACAGTTAAAAGGCAAAATTTTTTAAACCTACTACAGGACAATTTTATGGTACAGTTCATAGAGGTCCCAACTATGAATGATGCTCTGCTGGACCTGGTAATCTCAAACCATGCAGAGCTTATTACGAATGTCCATATAAAAGAACATCTGGGTAGCAGTGACTATAGCATGATTTCATTTATTGTTAGCTGTAAACATCAAGCACATACGGGAAAATAAAACCGCTCAATTTTAAGAGAGCTAATTTTCCAAGGCTGAGAGCTGCTCTCCAAGACTGGGAGGGAATATTGGCATCAATGAACACAACACAGAAATGGGAGTTCTTCAAAAAGACTGTATGTGAACACACTGCAAAATATATTTCCATGGGCAACAAGATTAAAACGCTAAAAATCAAATCTATGTGGCTTATGGCCAAAGTTAAAAAAGCTATAGATAATATGAAAAGAGCTTTTATTAACTATAAAAATGAAGGAACGCTATCATCGTTTAAAAATTACAAAGAATATAACAGAATATGCAAAAAGGAAATAAAGGCCGCAAAAATTTAAAACGAACGACAAATTGCAAAAGATAGCAGGACCAACCCCAAACAATTCTTCAAATATATTAATAGTAAAAAGGTCCGGTCTGAGCATGTAGACCCTACATGTATACAAAGGAGCATGGGGGAGCTCTTGTCCATAATGGGCATGGTATTGACACAGCTCCAGATGATCCACATTGGCTCACAACTGACATGATCCAAAAATATTTGAACAGAGTAAAGGTGAATAAAGCACCTGGACCGGATGGCATACACCCACGGGTCCTTAAAGAATTGAGCTATGTCATTTTAAAGCCATTGTTTCTAATTTATAGGGACTGTTTAATGATTGGCATAGTACCACTAAGGCCAATGTGGTGCCAATATTTAAAAAGAGGTCAAAATCTTTACCAAGTAATTATAGACCTGTTAGTTTAACTTCTTCAGTTGGGAAGTTACTGGAGAGTTTAATAAAAGACAGCATGGATTCATGAAAGACAGAAGTTGTCAAACAAATCTGATTTCTTTTTATGAGGAGGTGAGCAAAACCTTGGACAGAGGGGTGGCGGTGGATGTGGTATACTTGGATTTTGCAGAAACGTTTGACACAGTTCCCCACACACGGCTAATGTGTAAGGTAAAGTCTATGGACTTGGAAAAATCTGTATGTAAATGGATAGAAAACTGGCTAAAAGATCGTATTCAAAGAGTATTGGTTAATGATTCATACGCTGAATGGTCTAGGGTTGTCAGTGGTGTACCCCAAGGTTCAGTGTTGAGACTCTTACATTTTAATATATTTATAAATGATATAGGGTCTGCGATTAAAAATTCAATTTCAGGCTTTGTAGATGACACCAAGCTGTGCAGTGGATTAACGTTCTTACAGGATGTGTCCAACGTACAAGCCGACCTCAATGCACTGTTTAATTGGGCAACTATGTGGCAAATGAGGTTTAATGTTGATAAATGTAAGGTGATGCACTTGGGGGCTAAGAATATGCATGCATCATACATACTAGGGGGGGTACAACTGGGGGAATCAATGGTGGAGAAGGATCTGGGGTTTCTGGTAGATCACAAGCTTAATAATATCATGCAATGCCAAGCTGCAGTTTCTAAAGTGAGCACAATTCTCTTGGATTAAAAGGTATAGACTCCAGAGAAAAAGATATCATTTTACCCCTGTACAAATAATTAGTAAGACCTCATCAGGAATATGCAGTTCAATTTTGGGCACCAATTCACAAAAAGAACATTGGGGAACTGGAGAAAGTACAGATAATGCAACCAAACTGATAAGAGGCATGGAGGAGCTCAGCTATGAGGAAAGCTATGATCAACATGTATAATACATCAGTGGTTCATATAGTGAACTCGGTGTAGAGCTATTCACCCTGAGGCCATCACAGAGGACAAGGGGGCACTCTTTACATCTGGAGGAAAATAAATTTAATCTCCAAACACAGAAAGGTTTCTTCACAGTAGGAGCTGTGAAAATGTGGAAAAGACTCCCTCAAGAGTTGGTTCTGGCCAGCTCAGTGGATTGATTTAAAAAAGGCCTGGATTCTTTCCTAGATACAAAGAATATAACTGGATACTAACATTTATAGGTAAAGTAGATCCAGGGAATATCCGATTGCCTCTCGGGGGATCATGAAGGAATTTTTTTCTGCAGGAGCAAATTGACTCATGCTTTGCTGGGGGTTGATTTCCTGTGGATCAACTGTGGGTACAGGATTATAACTTTTTTTTTTTTAATGGTTGAAATGGATGGACTTTTGTCTTTTTTAAGCCAGACTAGCTATGTGACAAGAAACATTTATTTATTTAAAACTTTGTAGTAGACCCACCAAACCCTTGCAATTTCTGAAAGCCTTTAAAATAAAAAAGTATACAGATAATTTTGTAGGTTGATTTTGTATATTTTTATGAATTGAAAGTAATTTTACTATGGTATTGTACTTCATTCTGAAACTTAAGCATTAAGACTGCTTGTAGTAACAAGAGTCTGAGTGTTTGTGAGCATTACCATTGATTGTAACTGGAGCTTTAAGTGTATTTTAACCAAAGAACAAAACTTTATACTGTATATTGTAGTATAGTGGTCCTGTGGTGGCTGCATTAGTTTATCTTTTCAGGTGCTTTTCATTTTTTTTCATCTGGTGACCCTGCCAGTAACACATTTCTTGTACTATTGTCCCATTATCACTCTAGGCCACGGGTGTAGAACACCCCCACTCATCTCGATAACAGAGACAAACTGGACAGGGTTGATATCACTACTTGAGATAAGACCCCAGAGTCTACAGGACAGCACTGCATTTCTGGGGGTATAAACAGGTATTATTTTGCACCTAACTTCAAAAATAAGACTGATGCAATTTGTGAGGACATCTCCACTTTACAGATATCTTTTCCACTTAACATGCACTATATAAGAGCACATTTAATACTTTCCTCTTTTGACCTGCCTACTACTTAGGAGGTTACCAAGCTTTTCTCATATGCTCACCTAACCAGTTGTCCCCTGGATCCTGTTCCCTTACAACTACTATGGTCACCCTTTTCTTTTATCCCATGTTCTCTCTCACATCTTCAATCTCTCCCTCTTTATTGGCACCTTCCCCTCACCTTTAAAGCATGCATGCACAGATCACTCCCATACTTAAAAAGCCCTCACTGGACCCCTCCAACCTGAACAACGTAAGACCTAGCTCCTTGCTTCTATTTACCTCTAAACTTTTAGAATGCATAGCCTATAATCGTCTGAGCTCCTACCTCACTGAAAACAACCTTCTTGACCCCTTACAGCCTGGCTTTCGCTTGCAGCTCCACAGAAACTGCCTTACTAAATCTCAATAATTATTTACTAACTGCTAAAACCAACAGACACTACTTTCACTACTAGTACTTTCTGCAGCCTTTGATACTTTTGACCACTCATTCCTCCTCAATAAACTCCACTTTCTTGGCCTCAAAGATTTTGCTCTTATCTGATTCTCTTCCTATCTATCTCGGTGGTTCTTCAGTGTTACGTACAACTGTCTTCTCCTCTACACTTCTTTCTGTAGGGGTCCCCTAAGACTCTTCTTGGACCCCATATCTTTATTGGACCCCTTATCTACATTTCATTGCTTGGTCCTTTGATAACCTCCCATGACTTTCAATACTATCGCTACACCAATGACAACCAAATCTATCTTTCTACTCCTCACCTCACTCCTTCAGTCTCCTTTCGTATTAATAACTTACTAACTGACATATCAATTTGATGTCACATCACTTCTTCAAACTAAATCTTTCTAAAACCAAGCGTGTAATATTTCTGTGCCCTCCTCTGACTTTTCCATAAAAATGAACAATACAACTATCAGTCCCTCCCCTCACGCCAGGGTACTAGGTGTAATCCTAGACTCTGACGTGTCCTTTCAGTTCCATATTCAATCACTGTCAAAAGCTTGTAGACTTCATCTCTGTAACATCTCTAAAATTCACCCCTTTTTAATTAACCACTTGCCTACCAGGCACTTATACCCCCTTATTTACCAGGCCAATTTTCAGCTTTCAGCGCTGCCGCACTTTGATTGACAATTGCGCGGTCATGCAACATTGTACCCATATGAAATTTTGATCATTTTTTTCTCACAAATAGAGCTTTCTTTTGGTGGTATTTAATCGCCACTGGGTGCTTTACTTTTTGCGCTATAAGTAAAAAACGTGCAAAAAATTTAAAAAAAAAAGTTTCTTTGTTTCTTTTATGAAATTTTTCAAACAGGTATTTTTTCTCCTTCACTGATGTGCGTTGATGAGGCAGCACTGATGGGCACTGATGGGCGGCACTGATGGGCACTGATAGGCAGCACTAAAGGGCACTGATAGGCAGTACTAATGAGGTGGCACGGCTAGGCGGCACTGATAGACAGCACTAATGAGGTGTCACGGATAGGCGGCACTAATATGCAGCACTGATAGGCGGCACTGATAGGTGACACTGATTATGGGTACTGATAGACGGCACTGACTGGCATCACTGCTGGGCACTGACTGGCGGCACTGACTGGCACAACCCCTGGGCACTGACTGGTGGCACTGACTGGCAGCACTGCTGGGCTGCACTGGTGGGGTGGCACTGGTGGGCAGCACTGGTGGGTGGGCACAGGTGGGTGGCACTGGTGGGCACAGGTGGGTGGGCACAGGTGGGTGGCACTGCTGGGCACAGGTAGGTGGCACTTCTGGGCACAGGTAGGTGGCACTGCAGAGTGTCACAGGTGGGTGCACTGCTGGGCACAGGTGGGTGCACTGCTGGGCACAAGTGGGTGCACTGCTGGGCACGGGTGGGCGGAGCTAGTGGGCGCACTGCTGGGCACAGGTGGGCGGAACTTGCGGGTGGCACTGCTGGGCACCGATCATCAGGGCACTGATCATCAGTGCCCTGATGATCGGTGCCGATCCCCGCTCTGACAACTGCCGGTTCTCGGCAGTACTTTCCTCACGATCTGACAGCGTGAGGAAAGTGCAGCCGAGAACCGGCACTTGCATTTCCCTCTGATCAGCGTGTCATTGGACACCGCTGATCACGTGGTAAAAGGCCGCTGTGATTGGCCTTTTACCACATCACGTGATCAGCTGTGTCCGTAGGACACAGCGATCACGGAGATCACCGGGTGCGCGCCCCCTGGGGCGAGCAGGAGAGCTCGTTCTGGGAGGACGTCATATGACGTCCACTCAGAACTGGCCGGCCGCAGTGCAGCCGTCATTCGGCTATCTGCGGTCGGCAGCTAGTTAATGAAATCATCAAGCTACTCATTCACTCCCTTGTTATCTCTCGCCTTGACTATTGCAACTCCCTTCTCTCAGTCCTACCTCTTAGCAGGCTATTCCCCCTTTAGTCTATCATGAATTCTGCCAACAGACTTATCTACCTTACCAACCGCTCAGTGTCTGCTACCACTCTCTGCCAATCCATCTACTGACTTTCAATTGCCTAGTGAATTAAATTGAAAATACTAACACTATAGAAAGCCATTCACAACTCTGCCCCAAGCTCCAATCTTGTCTCAAAATATCACCCAAACCATCATCTCCACTCCTCCCAAGACCTCCTGCTCTATAGCTTTCTTGTCTCCTCCTTGCAAGCTCATTTCCAGGACTTCTACAGAGCCTCTCCCATCCTCTGGAACTTTCTATCTCAATCTGTCCGGCTATCTCATACTCAGGCCACCTTTAGGTGATCCCTGAAAACTCATCTCTTCAGGGATGCCTGTCCTGCCTCCACATAACAACTGAACTTGTAATTCTTCCATCAGCTCATCCCTCACAATTATACAGTTATTACCTTTTGTACCACTTGCCCCACCATATTTAATTGTATGGTCTTATGAACCTCTCTTAACCCTCTTGCATAGGGAAACTTGTTGCTATATAAATCATGTATAGTAATAATAATAATATTAGTAACCTATTGAACAGATATAACAAAACCCTTTCAGTATTATATTTAACAAGCCAAAAGGAGGTGAATAATATCCATGTACATACACTTTAAAAAACCTAGAAAATTTCTGCATTAGAAAGTATACAAATGCAGTGTGTTGCTATGCAATTCTTCCAATGCTTGGGACATGAGACTGTTGGAGCTGTCAGTAAACCATCAGAAAGATTCTACTGTTACTCACTCGTACATACATATGCTTATCTTTTTTATTGCATTGTTGAGTAGTCATGTCAAAAGGGAGATTGATTGAATATGAAGCTAGCACACAGGGTATGATGACAATTTATACGAATATGCATTGCAGATTACTAAACAACACACATCACATTGTAAGCAGGGATGAATTTATACTACCTACTCTCCTAAGCCTACTTTCTCATGATGCCCCCTGTTGATTGACAAGATTTGGTAGTAAAGTAACAAGATTAGATGTCAGAACCACGCAAGCACCACCATGGCAAAGGAAGGAAAGATTAAAAGGTCAACATCAGTACACCTACTCTCGAAAACCTAATACTGGTAGCAGTTTGGCAGGTTTAGGGACCCAGAGTAGGTGAACTGTAAATACACAGTACACTACTACCTCAATAAAAATGCACACATTATAAAGTGAAGATGTGACTACAAAGTATTTCCAGGTAGGTGGGAATTTTAATATACGCAGGAATGTGCTACTGGTAACAACATATTATCTTGGTGGTTGAGTGCAGACCCTATCAGATGTACCACCGCAGACCATGTCCCTTGATAGCTAAGCAGAAAGGGCTGAATGTTGGCACTTTTATAGTAACTATCGAGAAAATGACACTTTTTACATTTTTCTGGAGTTTTCCATATAGCATACATTATCTGTTTATTTTATAATCATTGAGTTTCCTTTCAGTACAACAGTAGCTATGGCAATTTAATGCTAGCATCCCAGCTACTCACCGAAGGGGGGGGGACTGCCTGTCAATCAATGGGACATTTTCATATCGAGGATTGCCACTGAACAAACCGCTTTGATTCCTATAGGTAACATAAAAGGAGGAACACAAAAACTCACAACAAGGACAAGAAATAATAAAGACTGTAAATATTAGAGAACCTAGTAGCATTGATTCCTATTCCTTTGGTATATGATCTGTATTTTCTGATTCTATTTATTACCATCAAATAACAATTTTAGATTGCTATTTTTTTAAATTAAAGTTTTCTATTTAAAAAGCTGAATGCAATATGAAGAGGATTGGAGTATTTGATTTCTTACCTTAGGTGGGTCAGTTTTAATACAAAAAACTATTGCAGTCTTGTTAGAGTGCATAAATAGGTAGCAAAAAATGCAGTAGTATCTCTGATTATCTGATCTCTGTCAATGGAGAGGAGTATTGTTCAGCCATAGCTAATGACTGGCTAGCACGTTGTGAACAGGAATCCCCTAGTCCCCCTCGGCAGAGACCCTGTGAATGATGCTGTGGCATTGGTCATGTGGGAGAGCCCTGAGCACCAAGCAGCATGACAATTACTATTTGTTCAGTCTTTGTTGCTAATTGGCTAGCACTCTCTGAACTGTTCATAGAAAATGATCTTCATATTCAAGTGTAGATCTGAAAACAGATTAATTTGAAAAGAAGATTAGCTAAAAATGTACTTTTTTAGCATATCATCTAAAGAACCAGAATTTGTAGTAGGTTTAATCAGGAATTTAGACTTCAGAACTAGCAGCTCTCAACACAATTCTCACAATACATTTATGGGCTTATTGATTTGCCAGCACTGTATCTTTGTCATTATGCATGATATACAGTGGGGATCGAAAGTTTGGGCACCCCAGCTAAAAATTTGTATTAATGTGCATAAAAAAGCCAAGGAAAGATGGAAAAATCTCCAAAAGGCATCAAATTACAGATTAGACATTCTTATAATATGTCAACAAAAGTTAGATTTTATTTCCATCATTTAAACTTTCAAAATAACAGAAAACCAAAAAATGGCTTCTGCAAAAGTTTGGGCACCCTGCAGAATTTATAGCATGCACTACCCACTTTGCCAAGCTGAGACCTGCCAGTGTCATGGATTGTTCTCAATCATCGTCTGGGAAGACCAGGTGATGTCAATCTCAAAGGTTTTAAATGCCCAGACTCATCTGACCTTGCCCCAACAATCAGCACCATGGGTCTTCGAAGCAGTTGTCTAGAAAACTGAAACTGAAAATAGTTGACGCTCACAAAGCTGGAGAAGGCTATATGAAGAAAGGCAAAGCGTTTTCAGATGTCAATATCCTCTGTTCGGAATGTAATTAAGAAATGGCAGTCATCAGGAACAGTGGAAGTTAAAGCAAGATCTGGAAGACCAAGAAAAATATCAGACAGAACAGCTCGCAGGATTGTGAGAAAAACAATTCAAAACCCACGTTTGACTGCACGATCCCTCCAGAAAGATCTGGCAGACACTGGAGTTGTTGTCCACTATTCCACTATAAAGAGATACTTGTACAAATATGGTCTTCATGGAAGAGTCATCAGAAGAAAACCTCTTCTACGTCCTCACCACAAAAAAATCATCGTTTGAACTTTGCAAATTAACATATAGACAAGCCTAAAGCATTTTGGAAACAAGTTCTGTGGACCAATGAGGTTAAAATTGAACTTTTTGGCAGGAATGAGCAAAGGTACGTTTGGAGAAGAAGCGGCACAGAATTGAATGAAAAGAACCTCTGTCCAACTGTTAAGCATGGGGTTGGATCAATCATGCTTTGGGGTTGTGTTGCAGCCAGTGGCACAGGGAACATCTCACGAGTATTAGGAAAAATGGATTCAAAAAAATTTCAGTAAATTTTGGATAGTAACTTGATGCCATCTGTGAAAAAGCTGAAGTTAAAGAGAGGATGGCTTCTACAAATGGATAATGATCCTAAACACACCTCAAAATCCACGGGGGATTACATCAAGAGGCGTAAACTGAAGGTTTTGCCATGGCCTTCACAATCTCCTGACCTCAACATAATTGAAAATCTATGGATAGACCTTAAAAGAGCAGTGCGTGACAGACAGCCCAGAAATCTCAAAGAACTGGAAGACTTTTGTAAGGAAGAATGGGCAAAGATACCTCAAACAAGAATTGAAAGACTCTTGGCTGGCTACAAAAAAGCGTTTACAAGCTGTGATACTTGCCAAAGGGGGCAGAACAAGATATTAACTCTGCAGGGTGCCCAAACTTTTGCAGACGCCATTTTTTTGTTTTCTGTTATTTTGAAAGTGTAAATGATGGAAATAAAATCTAACTTTTGTTGACATATTATAAGAATGTCTAATCTGTAATTTGATGCCTTTTGGAGATTTTTCCATCTTTCCTTGGCTTCTTTATGCACATTAATAAAATTTTTTAGCTGGGGTGCCCAAACTTTCGATCCCCACTGTATATATATATATATATATATATATATATAAAAATACATTTTTTATTATTTTTTTTTTTTTTTAACGAATAATGAAATTATTCATATTGTCTTGTGACAGTTATTTTTTTTTCATGTGCATTTTAAGGGAAAAGGGAAGATTTTTACTGTAAATGAATAATACAAAATTCTAAGAAAAAAAATCAAAACTCTAAATGTATGCCCTGGTACACTGCACATTTTGAATCTGTATTTTTTTACACAATATAGAATTTCCAGTGGGAAGAATTCTGCGCTGGTGACCCAAAGTGAACTAAGCAGTTGGCAGGGTGAGTGCTGCAAATCATCCTGAAATATCAATTATGAATGGAATGGAATTTTAATTATAAATAAGATAACTCATTTTTTGGAGATGCACTGTTCTCTTTTGATGATAATTGAAATAAAAAAAAAACCTGGTTATTTAAATAACCAAAATTGCACAAGATATGATCCCTGACCACTGTGTTGTTTTTTTACAAATAAGAAATAATCCTAAAACTCTGAGAATTATGTAGCTGTGTAAAGCATGATATATAAAGGGCCACATTTGTCTGCAAGACTCATTGCTTGCAGGCTAGGTGTGAGCAAAATGAGCCAGTTTTGCTTTATCAAAGTGTTGGTGAAATTTTGTCTATTTATTTATTGAATTCATGTATTTTTCTAAACAACAAGAAAAAAAAAAGTCCAGATAGTAACTTAATTGTAAAAGAAAAAAAAACTGCACAATGGTCACCCCCCTTTTTTAATATTATTATAATATTATTTGATGTTTTGTAACACAGTACAATGAAATATTGAAGAAATGGAAACAAAAAGTATCACTTTAAAATTGCTTTTTTTTTTTTTCTCACTGTCCATAAAAACTAAAGAACCCGCCAAAAAACAGATACATAAAAAATGGAAAAATACATAAGGAATGTTCCAAAAACATGAAAAAAATCATGATTAGTGTGCTGTTATAAGAAAGAATATTATAGAAAAGGGCTCAAAAGTAAGTGAAACATTTTGTGCAAATTTTCTTTTTCGTTCCTTTACACATTTTTTTATTATTTTGTTATTTGAAGCCTTTTAGACAATACAGAAAATCAGCAACATCTGCATTTTAATGGCTGGATGAATACTTGTGTTACTGTCTCTTCAATTTTGCTAATTGCATTATTGTCTAAAAATAAACTAAAACACAATACTCCCCTAAAATATCTTAAAAAGGTAATATAATTTTTTATTTTATGTATTTTCTTGTATGTATCTGTATGGATTGTTTTTGCTATTTATCAATAAACCTAATCACTCCTAAAGCCGGCCATACATGAGTTGAATTCTGAAAGAATTTTCTTTCAAAAATCTTTTCTAAGAATTTTCGTTTGAATTTTGCACCGTTAGTGGGTTACAGCAACGCCTGATTTTCGTGCAACCATCGAATTTAAGTGATCGGTCATGTTGGAAATTTTTTGAAAAACTAACAAATTTTGAATCAATGATGGGAGAATCATGTGGTAAATATAAACAAAAAAGAAATGAGCATGAGCTGTGACCTGGAAAGAAAAGAAAACACTGTTCAACAAATTTTTATTTTTTGCCAGTTTTGGAAACAAAAGGATCCATTTCTTAATGAATTTCACATTCTGAGTTCAAATATAACAATGAAATTTGTCAATTGGCTCTAGTTTTTCTGTAAACGGAAAGTTTTCTACTATAGGCGTAATGACTACATAATGCACAATAATTATATAGATAGATGTCTTTCCACAAATATAAAGCAAGTGATATTGACTACATAACAAAGCCTAAATGGCATAATATATTGCATAGGATTACCAAGAAAAATGATAGCCATAAGCTAATTAGAATCATTTTAATACTTAGGATTCTCACTAGTTTTGTCTTCAGTTTGTGTCGGTTTTGCTTCTCTTGGCTTTTCTCTTGTATTCGAGGAAAGGGCTATCTCTTACAACTGCACGTGACTACACGCTTCAGGTTCTTCCTCACTTGACTCAACCACGAAGGATTCTGGTGCTTTAGGAATTGGTAGCCCCTCTCCATGAGGAACTGGACGTATTGCCGATGGAATATTTGGATAGTGCACAGATAACTTTTTCTTCTTATTTAGCCCTTTTACAATTGGAGGCACCATACAAAAGTAACAATTACTAACATGATCTGTTGGCTCTCTCCAAATCATTGGCACAGCGAAAGGCATAGATGCCTTTTTTCCATTCAACCATTGCTCCAGTGCCGTCCCACAAGAATTGCAGCATATATGTGGTGCCCAGCTCTTGCCCTGGTCTCCTATCTTGCAGCCAAAATACAAGTTGTAGGCTTTCTTAATCATTCCTGTTATCCTCCTTTTTTGTGAGATAAAAATTATTTCACCGCAGATATAGCAGAAATTATCTGCTTTATTCACACAAGTTCGAGGCATTACTGAGTAGCCTATATAAGCATAAAACGAAATGTAAAGACGCTGTTGAACTACAATCAGCTACAGATACTGCAGCTTTTATGCAGTGAAGTAATGCAATTAAAGGCTAATATTGCATCATCTCAGTATACATGCAATTTTCTATTGGTCACCAGTATCAATTGCGCAATATGCAGCTGAAGTTGCATCATAATTTTGAATGGCTTACGTCATTAGATGAGTGAATATATCATGGAAACTAGAGCCAATCAACATTTTTTAGGGTCATTTTCGTTTTCAGCACCCCAAAATTATGTAAGATTAGCTAATTTTATGCCCAAAACTTTTTACCTGTTGAACAGTGAAATTATTGACTACGAAAATTCTTTTCTGTAGCAACATGAGGTGAAATTGAAGGCTTGGTTGGTTGAATTTTGAAATCAATGGTGGCACCATCGGAGTACAAAACACATGAAATTTCCGATTTCTAAAGAAAATTGGTTCAGAATTCGACCCATGTATGGCCTGCATAAGTCACCATGTCCTCATTTTCCATCTAAAAGTGTCTTCAGTAAGTTATGTTTATACAAGAGGCTATATTATGGGCAGCACAGTGGCTGAATGTTTAGCACTTCTGCCTGGCAGTACTAGGGTTGTTGGTTCAAATCCCAACCACAGCACCATTGTTTCCGATTTCTAAAGAAAATTGGTTCAGAATTCAACCCATGTATGGCTTGCATAAGTTCTCCCTGTGCCTGCATGGGCTTCCTCTGGGTACTCCAGTTTCCTTCCACACTCCAAAGACATGCTGGTAGGTTAACTGGATCGTGTCTAAATTGGTCCTAGTATGTGTATATATGAATGTGAGTTAGGGACCTTAGATTGTACACCCCTTGAGGGTTAAGGACAGATGTGAATACACAATATATATGTAAAGCACTGTGTAAATTGGTGTTGCTATATAAGTACCTGAAATAATAAATATTGTTAAAGAGGTTTCTAGAAATCTTTTTAAATGCAATTCTTTATCATTGAGCGAGAATACACACACAACTTATTGAATTCACTCTGAGAAGTTGAATTGAGGATATGCTAACTCATTATTATGTTGTCATTTTACACTGAGTATAATAAATTGGTTTTATGATAAATAAACAGGGTATTAACAGCCTTTGTCATTTTGACAAAGGCTTCTCCAAGAGCCTCATAGGGCGACAAAGGCAGTGTGAACATTGCATGACCATTTACTTTAAGCAATGTAGAGTGCAGAAACTTTTCGTAAAGGGTTGCACCATATTTGTAAAGGCATTGTTTTTGTATAGGTGGTGAACTAAAGCTCCATACACACAGGACGAATATTGGGTGGTATCGGCCGGTTCAATAGAAACTGGCCAATGTTCGGCCCGTGTGTATGGCAGCCAGTCCGACAGAAGCCAGCTGAACATTGAAAAAGGTCTGCCGATTGGCATCCCATCCGTGCTCTCAGCCAATGGCTGAGATCGCTGACCGGTGTGTTCTGGCGTGGGGGCCGTCCTCCTGTCAAAACACAGCTCAGCGGGGAGATTTCTGTACTAACATCAGATTGTTAGTCCAGGATCTCCTCCCAAGCTCTTCACTTTTTTTTGTTTCGTTCAGCCCCCTGGGTTGAATGAAAAAAAAACTGATAGTGTGTATTAGACTTAACCCCTTAAAGATAGATCTACTGTAGTCCGCACAGTCATTGCATTTTTTTGTAATGCAACTTGCTTAACATAGCTTTAAATTATTAGGTTATTTTCTAACTGAGCCTTGCAATCAAAATTAGAAGACACTTTCGGAAGAATCTCAGCGAATGTGAAACCGCTAATTTTATGGTAACATCAGGTTTGATGAACTGTCATACTTTTACCTATTGCAGACAATATTGTAAACCTGACAAATATATGAGAAATGGAAAAGTGAATTATTGCCCATGGTGGCCAATCAGATTCTAGCTGATTATAGGAAGTTTGTGGTGTCCCGATGATCTGTTTTAGCAGCTCCAGCCATTAGTTATTCGGTGGCAGTACAAGTGTCACTACTCTCTATAGACAGAATTACTCATGAAATGTCTGTTTGTTTACACATCTATATTTTTTTCTCTGCTTTTTGTTTATAAATCAACTCATTAATATTATTGTAATAAATAAAAAGCCCCCATGTGGCTGCCGGCCTGTGTGTGCGGCTACTCACATGTACTGTGAGACGGGGGCGTTGGAAATAGGCGGGGCCGAGACCCGCAGGCTGTTGTGGCTGCCGCAGCTACTGCTGTAACTATAGAAACTGGGCAGGTGAGGTCTGCCTGCTGTGCGGAGCATCTCTCTACGTGCCTGAGGGGTTAAATGGGTCATCCTCGTCCATGTCATCATAGTCCAGGTCCCTGCAACATAGTGCAAACAAACAATATAATACTTTACTATGGATTATTAACTTATATAAAAAACATATCAGCAACAGATAAAAGAAAAAAACTCACAAAATAGGAAAATAGGATGGTTAGCCGGGGTGACTTCACTTTAAGCCTGGATTTCGCATGAACAGGGTACGATTGTAATGCAGTGTGGAATTCACACAGAAACCGCTGCAACTTCTGCACCACAGTGCAGAAGTCGCAGCGGTTTCTGTGCGTATTCCACACTGCATTACAATCGCACCCTGTTCATGCGAACCGCTGCGGGTATGTATCTTAAGTTAACAACACCCCGAAATCGGTCCGCAAAACGCAGTGCGGTGTGCAGAATCAGACTGCACAGGTGTGAATAGGCATGCAATCTGATTCTAGTGCGGACCAAAAAAGGGTCCTGCACTTTTTTGGTGTGGATGCGGTGTAATTTCAGCCATATGGATTGATTTGCATATGGATTGATAATGTGGGTTGCCAATATACAGATATCTTCACCTAAATCTCATCATAATGTATAATAAATATATAGAAAACAATATGCGCTACCACTAAATATTAATTAATTAAATAAACAATTAATTCATTTAAAAACATGTAAATATATCAATGGAATATGAGCTGCTGCAAAACAAACCATTGATGCGGTACAGAAGTCGCAGCGGTTTCTGTGCGAATTCCACACTGTATCACAATCGCACCCCATTCATGTGAACTGCTGCGGGTGTGTATGTTAAGTAAACAGCACCCTGAAATCGGTCCGCAAAACGCAGTGCGATGTGCAGAATTGGATTGCACAGGTGTGAATACGCATGCAGTCTGATTCTAGTGCGGACCAAAAAAGGGTCCTGCTCTTTTTTGGTGTGGATGCGGTGCGATTAGAGCCATATAAAATGTGTGGCTAAAATTGCACCGCACAGAATTCGCATGTGATTTGCGCAGGGATGCGGTGCAGTTCCTGTGCGAATCACATGCGATATGCCACACTGCACAAGTGTCAACCCAGGCTGAGAGCTGGTTCACACTGATGCGGTGCAGTAAATCACATGTGATTTGGACAGGAAACGCACCACACATTCCTGTTCAAATCACACGTGATTCTTTTGCAGTGCGATTTGAGCCATTCAGTTTGTGGGGCTCAATGCGCACAAAGCACCTGCAGGAAAGGTGCAGGACCCATGTGATCTGCTTCAGCCAATCGCACTGCGTTTTGCAAAACATTTTGGGATTTCATTAACATTGACACACGTAGTGGTTCTCATTAACAGTGTGCGATTGTGATGCGCTGCAGGAAAAAGCACAGGAATAGCTACGAATCCCACGTCACATCAGTGTGAACCGGCCCTAAAGTAGATCTAAACCTTTAACCTCTAAATCACTTAAATCTCATATAAACTTTGCCAATAAATTAATTCAAAAGTTATTTTAAATATTTTTAAATCTGAAATGTTCAATAAAATAATACCAGGTGATCCTGTTATGAAGAGTCTTGTTTAGGCACTTCTTGTTACGGAGTGACAATGCTCTCCCTGTCTCTCAAATGTTCTCCTGTGTTGTCACATACACTCATAATGGAAACTACGTGGCTGTGCTGATGCACATTTCTCAGACATATCACCATTAAGGAGTCTACACTGAGCAGTAATAGTTCATATTACATAGAAATGAAGTGGCTACATAGAGCTTGGAGGAAATCAGCAGAGCTGGGATTTAAGGAACAGAAAAGGAAAACAGAATTTTATTTTAAATAAGTGACAGAAAACTATTTTAAAAAACGTCATTGTTCTCTGTTTTTTAACCTGCTGCTCTATATGAACATCCAGGAGGACTTCATCTAAGCTTCTAGGCAGGGGCAGATTGACAACTCATGGAGCCCCCGGGCAATAGGGAAACATGGGGCCCCTGTGTCCTTGCCCACACTCAAAGCACACCCAAAAAAGCCTATAAAAGGTACCAGGGGCATTTCATAGGACCCCCTACTGACCCCGGGCCCTCGGGCAGTGCCCTAGTGCTCGAATGGTCAGTCTGCCCCTGCTTCCAGGAAATTTGTGCCACTGTGAACCTTCTCGACGTGCTGCCACTAAGGCCTCTTGCACATGGGACGTCTAAAATTGCCACGTTTTTAGACATTCGGGCATTTTTTTTGTTACTGATCTTGATGCAGCCCATTTTCTTTCTATGGGCCTGCACACACAGGCAAGTAAACTTGTGCTGTGTATAGACCAGTAGAACAACAACAAAAAAATCTTCTTTGCATATGGATTGCTAAGGTGGGTTACCAATATACACATAACTTCACCTACATCCCATCATAATGTATAATATATATATAGAAAACAGTGTGCGCTACCACAAAATATTAATGAATGAATTAAATAAAAACTTAATTAAAATATTTTTTTAAAATAAATCAATGGAATATGAGTTGTTGCAAAAAAAAACGTAAAGCGTTCCCCCTCACAATATAAAACAAACATAGATTAGTGCTATGCTACTTGAATATTTGTACATAGAATAAACATAAATAAATAGTGGTACAAAAAATATGAAATAAACAGTGCCTAATAGTGCAAAAAATATATATAATGCACATCAAAAAGTCTTTCAGTGCTCAGTCAGCCCAATGGCTATAAATTCTTGTGCTTTCCCTGATAAATAGTGCTCCATACCAAATTGCATTCAGTGCCCCTCCACCTAAAATAGGATGGCCGCAAAAAAAAAAAAAAAAAAAACTTCTTTGCATATAGATTGATAATGTGGGTTGCCAATATACACATATCTTCACCTACATCCCATCATAATATATAACTGATGAGCCAGAAGAATTGGGTACTTTAAAGATACTTACTAGTGATACAAACACATAAAAGTTTTTGACGAAAACAAATTTCTAAAATATTTCCACAAAAAAAAATGTATACAATTTTTCCACAAAAAAAAATTCTCTAAAATGTTTCCACAACAAAATTTTCTAAAATGTTTCAAAATTTATTGAGTTACAAAGTTAAAAGAGTTATGGTATTCATAAAAGCTTCAACATGAAACATAGGGGTTGATTTACTAGGCAAATACGCTGTGCACTGAAAGTGAAGTTGCTCTAGATCTGAGGGGAACATGCAAGGAAAATAAAAAAAACTGCATTTTTTTGCTCGCACATGATTGGATGAAAGAAATCAGCACAGCTTTGCCTCATTTGAGAGCTTTCCCTCGGATATAAAGCAACTGCACTTTCAGTAAACTTGAAGTGCACGTGCAGCGCACAGCCTATTTGCCTTTAGTAAATCAACCCCATAGTGTGGTTGGCAATACTTTTATCAGCGGTACAAGGCTCTTATTGAAGTTCCCAACATGTTTTGCCCTGGGGGGCTTCTTCAAGGAGGAAGACTGCTAATTATCCAGAGCTACATGTAATGAGAAAAATGAGCAAAAAGAAAATATAACAATTACCAAATCATACACAAACATTATTAGATATGATTATACGCACAGCCTGTGCCCCATCACGCTTACCCAGTATACATTACTCCATAAAATGAAGGCCTGGACAGTAGTTGTTCACATACTGGCATCAACTGGGATCCTTAAGAGCTGATTCACACATGTGCGGTGCAGATTGAAGCTCAGGTTTCACAGCTAATTGATACAGTAGTTGTTCAGCAGTTCACTTCAGGTTTATATCAGGTTCAGATAAAATAAATATCAAGATATTGGATGAAGCGCTCTGCTATGATAATGCTAAAAAAATCTAAATTTTATACACAAATGTAAAAGTGACTAGTACTTAAATAATATATGTGCTAAAATTATATAAAAATTCATATAAGACCAGTCTGCCCCCAAATGGCTAAAACTGGTTATACATGTGCACACACAAAAAAATAGAAAGTGACCAGTGCCGAAAACCGGAAGTACGTCACCGGAAGTGCATCACCGAGCTCCACCCGGAAATGACGTCAATGAGCTCCACGCGTTATACCACTGTCACGTGGCTTCTTCCTGAAGAACGCGTGTAGATCATTGACGTCATTTCCGGGTGGAGCTCGGTGATGCACTTCCGGTGACGTACTTCCGGTTTTCGGCAAACACGATTTCCTATTACACCCATAGGATATGGGGAAACTGCTTGTACACTTCTAAGAGCATGTGAGTTTTCTATCTGCTTTTTTCTTCATAATAAAACTACATATTGCGCTATGGAGATCTCTCTTTGTGCTTAAATCTTCCATGGTCCATGGATATATGGCTGAGGCATCGTATATATTAAGATTTTGAATCGTGGGGCAAGTTATATCCTGATGTCATTTTTTGGAACATCATTTAAATAAATGATTTGTGACCTCTAGGGGTCGAATGTTGGAGGTGAGGAGGCACTCTGGATATTTAGGATTGATTCACTGGAGTGACACTTTGGTCTGAGCACTATTTGAATGAAAAAGCACTTTTATTATATATATATTTTCTTCACAGAAGAGTGATAGCATGTTTTTTGCACATGATTATATTATATGTATATTGATTGTTATTTAAACACTTGGCACTTTTTATGAGTATTCACTGTGATTTTAAAATTTTTTTTTTATATTTATTAAGACACTATTTATGTACCCAAGCACCTGGTCACTTTCTATTTTTTTGTGTGTGCACATGTATAACCAGTTTTAGCCATTTGGGGGCAGACTGGTCTTATATGAATTTTTATATAATTTTAGCACATATATTATTTAAGTACTAGTCACTTTTATATTTGTGTATAAAATTTTGATTTTTTTAGCATTATCATAGCAGAGCGCTTCATCCAATATCTTGATATTTATTTTATGTGTCCCATGGTATAGGGTGTAGATGATAGCAGCTAGCTATATTTAAGGAGTCTGTGGAGCGCAGGTGGATATTTTTATTTAGTCTATTATATCAGGTTCAGGACAGGATTAGCTCAGGATGTTATCTTGTTGCACACATACGCGATTTAGAAACTGTTCCCATAGAAGCCAATAGCCTGTAATCTGCACCTGAACTGCACTGCACTGCACAGAAATTGGACATGACTCTTTTTAAAACCGCACTGAATCTGCACCGCCAGTGCACCGGACATATGTGAACAGGCACCATAGGAAGCAATGTTTTTTCACAAGTCATGCAGATTGGATGCGGTTCAAACCGCATCCAATCCACATATTTGTGAACAGGCACCGAGTGTCAAGTCCTTCATTTTAAGGAGTAATGTATATGGGGTAAACTTGATGGGGCACAGGCTGTGGGTATAATGATATCTAATAATGTTCTTGTAATGTTTGTGTATGATTTGGTAATTCTTATATCGTCTTTTTTTGCATGTTTCTTTACACATAGCTCTGAATATTCAGCTGTCTCCCCCCGTGAAGAAGCCCCCCTGGGTGAAACATGTTGGGAACAGGGGCGGACTGACCATTTGGAAACTCGGGCACTGCCCGAGGGCCCGGGGTAAGTAGGGGGCCCCGTGAGATGCCCCTGGTACCTTTTTCATAGTCTTTTTTGAGTTTGGGCAAGGACACAGGTGCCCCATGATCCCCTATTGCCCGGGGGCCCCATGAGTTGTCAGTCCCCCCCCTGGTTGGGAACGTCAATAAAATCCTTGTACCGCTGGTTATGTGTTATGTTGAAGCTTTCAGAAGCATTGGGGACTTATAAGGTGCTTACCATTGATACAAACACATAAAAGTTTTTCACAAAAAGATTTCTAAAATGTTTCCACAATTTATTGAGTTACAAAGTTAAAAAGGTTATGGTATTCATAAAAGCTTCAATATAACACATAGTGTGGTTGACAATAATTTGGCCAGCGGTACAAGGATTTTATTAACCTTTTTAACTTTGTAACGCGATAAATTGTGAATACATTTTAGAAATCTTTTTTTGAAAAAAATTTATGTGCTTGTATTAATGGTAAGCATCTTAGAAGTCCCCAATTCTTCGGACTCATCAAAAATCTGTTTTTCTGCTCAGTATTTTTATGCGCCTATGTGTGTATATGGGCAAATATGCATGTACCCCACACTCCTATGATTAAAAAAAGCTACAACAATGTTTATGCGTGTATACATGTACGCTTGGATCCACGCAAATATACTCAAGTGCTATATAACTCATCCTTGTATTTTTTTGCCAGGAATATCTGATGTTCAAGATTCTTTGTTTAGAAATGATTTTTTTTCCATTTAAGCCTAATTAACCTATAATTAGCCTTTCCTCTCTTTCTTCCTAATCCATTTTTAAAAAAACTCTTTTTATATATTTATGTTCCATTTGCTATTTTGTTCTTTCGTGTAAATATATTTATATCAGTCCTAAAATGGCTCAATAATAGATCAATATCTTTATACTGCGTACAAAGTTTCAGTGTGAAGCCAATATACAGCACTATACTAATTGAAACTTACCAAAATGCAAGTATCTTCAAACTTAAAGTGCTCTATGTACACCTCAGACTGAAAACCATATACCCATAAAAAACTAATACATAGTGATAAATTATAAAAATTGGTATAAATAGCAATAAACAGCTATTGATATAGTTCCTAATTTCTCTGTGTGAGAAAAACCTTACATTGACTTGTGCAATCTGCCCCAATGTAGTCCAGCAACCTCCAGTGCAATATATCACCAACAACCGTGTCCATATACACATCCAACATACTCTGTATTTAACCACTTGCCCTCCACGGGATTTACCCCCCTTCCTGACCAGAACAATTTTTGCGATAAAGCACTGCATTACTTTAACTGACAATTGCGCAGTCATGCAATGCTGCACCCAAATAAAATTATGTCCTTCTTTCCCACAAATGGAGATTTCTTTTGATGGTATTTGATCGCCTCTGCTTTTTTTTATTTTTTGCGCTATAAACAAAAAGACAATTTTGAAAAAAAAATATATATTTTTGACTTTTTACTATAAAATATATCCAGTAAAAAAAAATTTTTAAAAATCTAATTTCGTCATAACTTTAGGCCAAAATGTATTCTGCTACATGTCTTTGCTAAAAAAAAATCCTGATACGTGTAAATTATTTGGTTTACATGAAAGTTATAGCATCTACAAATGCGGTATATATACTGGAATGCAGTAAAATTCAGTCCAACTGCATGTGGGCAGCACAGTGGCTAAATGGTTAGCACTTCTGCCTGGCAGTACTAGGGTCGCTGGTTTGTATCCCAGCCACGGCTCCACCTGCCTGGAGTTTGCATGTTCTCCCTGTGCCTGCGTGGGTTTCCTCCGGGTACTCCGGTTTCCTCCCACACTCTAAAGACATGCTGGTAGGTTTATTGGATCCTGTCTAAATTGGCCCTAGTATGTGTATGTATAAATGTAAGTTAGAGACCTTAGATTGTACACCCCTTGAGGGTTAGGGACTGATGTGAATGTACAATATATATGTAAAGCGCTGCGTAAATTGACGGCACTATACAAGTACCTGAAATAAATAAATAATAAGGGTGACAATTAACATTTGTCATGTATTGACAAAAAAGTTATAGGTTAAAGCTTATCTAAACCTAAAACAAAGATTTTTTTATACTGTAGCTTATCAGTTCTTAGATTCGGTGGCTATTAGATTCCTTTTTTTTTTACTTTTTTTACTTTCTTTTTCTCCTGATGATTCTACCAATAACACAATCTAATACTCTCCCAATTTGTAATACAAACCCTTCCCTTTCTTCTCAACACCATTACATAAAGGGGTGTTGCTTTGTAGTTGACAGAAATTAGTTGAGAAAGTGGATAACATTGTTAGAGATTTAAGTTCAGTCCACAAGAAGTTACGAGGACATACTGTTTCTGATGGGTATTTTTCTGTACTTATGCAAAATGTACTTAGCCTTAAAATAGAAAACTAATGTTTCCAACCACATCTAAGAACTGGTAAGCTGCAATATATTACATTTTATAGATATACTATATGTTTTAGAATAAAGTTTTAAGAGTTATGGTAAGGGGTAGGGTTGGGATAAGGGTATGGGTTAGAATTTCACGTTAAAGGTCAATTTTAAGGGATAGGTTAAATGCTAAGGTTCAGGTCACACAATAATTTATAGGGTTAGGTTAAGATGGTGAGTAAAGGATAGCTTGCTAAGGTCAGGGTAACCTGTAGGGATAGGTTAGATGCCTGTGAAATTCTAAAACAAAATACATTTTTACCAGTGTACCAAGGGCTTGCAGTACTAAGCCAAGTAGTCAACAGCACATATACTAAAACACTATTGAATAGGTTAAAGCCCAATCCAGGGTCAGACTGACAACTCATGGGGACCCCGGGCAATAGGGGATCATGGGGCCCCTGTGTCCTTGCCTGAACTCAAAAAAGCCTATGAAAAAGGTACCAGGGGCATCTCATGGGGCCCCCTACTGACCCCGGACCCTCGGGCAGTGCCCGAGTTTCCAAATGGTCAGTCCACCCCTGGCCCAATCAAAGTCACAAAAATAAATATGCAGTCAGTGTTACCATCTCCCATTTTTATATTTTACCTCTGCTTTCCAGCAGGGTGTCTAAATATGACTGTGCAATTCGATGAGCACCAGATTACTTTGGTAATCAAACTCACTACTCCCAGTAACAGACCTGGTCAGACATTCTCTTTCTCTGCAATTCCAGTATATGAGAGGAAGCATGTGCTGAGGGGTGTGGCTGGCACACAGCTCTGCTACCACAGCGCACTGCAGAGTGAGGGCTGGAACCATCATTTTCAGAAAGAAAATAGTATTTTAGAGGATTTCCTAGCAAAAATCAGTCATAAAATATAACATGTGATACCTTACTCTAAAGATATAAGAGGGAAAGATTTCAATTGAGCTTTAAATAAGGATATTTGTGTCTTCTTTTACACGTTTCTCTATTACAGCAGTTTAACTGATGTGTCTGTTTTTCCTACCATACATCCCGTACAAGTGTATGAACAATTTCCCCTTTGCCCAGCACCTAATACAGACCTAGTAAAGCATATAATTATACACAAATAGATAAAACTGTGCAGTTATTCAATGTCTGACCTTCAACTGCCTTATAATCCTCAACATACACTTAAAAGTACATTTCCAATCAGCCTTTAATCTAATAATCCAGGTCTGCATTAATAAAGTAATCTGGAAGGTAAGTGTATGCACTCTGAATTATTAGATAAAGGATTTTTTTTGTAATGTGGAAATGGGATTGTCTGTAAAGACTTTAATGGGGATTTAATGATACAAACCAGAAACACCAGCAAATATGAATGTATGAAACAATTTGCACACATTATCTCTTGAATCATTTGAAGAAGTGGAGGAAACTTTCCTCACTGTGGTTATCAGCACTCAGGACCTAGTGTCCCAGTTCTTCATAAATAACTTGTTTTGGTCACCACACCAACTATGTAAAATAGGACTTTTCAACTCTGCCTCAGCTATGGCCATACGTATATAAGTAAGTTCTGATCGCATTATTCCTTTTCGGCAATGAATACATTCCAAATGACTAAGCAAGTGGAGTTTAGCCTTCCCTTCCTTTAAGAGATAAAACCTACTCACTATAATACAAAATTATGCACCAAGGACACACTTCAGGATATCCCTTTGCCTGCTTTCGTTTAATGCCAGGAAAATGATCTTATTCAAATTAAAAGACTGCATGGTACCAAACCTAAGTTTCTACATTGACCTGGTTAACAAGGTTCTACCAAACTACAAGCAAACCTAAGTTAGCCAAACGTCCATAAAATGTAACAAGGTGTAGTGCTCATGGATAAATGCCTATTTGTATAATTGTAACTGGCACACTGTATAAGGTACTTGGTAATGCTTTCTGACTGGTTGTATAGCGTGGTTCAACTGTATAAAGAAGGGTGGAAAACAGTGAATGTGTGTGTGTAACCTGGGCCGTTTGTTATTTTATGACCGTTCAACAAGTTAGGATGTCTTGTACTGTATGTATTCCTAATGCATATATCTAGTAATAGATAAAACACCTTGAAAAACATGAATATATGACAATTATAATGACCATGGGGCCCAAGGAGATCTATGTGACTATCTTGATGTAACTCACCTGTTCTGGAAACGCTTCCATGCACGAGGCAGGCTGCATATGGCAGCTGTGAAGGAGAGAGCCGAGAGAAAAGAGAATAGAAGCAGAAACAAGATGCCTTCCATTCCATCATAGCAAAGCCCTTTCAGAGCATCCACATAGTCCTGTAAAAAAGAAGTAAAAACACTATAAATATTTCATGCATTAATTCCTGAGGATTTTGTTTCCTTTTGTAATGAAGCCACTCCAGTCATAAGGTTTTATAGCAAACATACTATATACAAGCCACAAATCACAAAAATTACTGGAGAAGAATGAAAGCTTGAATGCTATTTAGTGGTATTGAGTAATACAGACTGTTAGGTAGTTCCTTTGTTCAGTACCTTAAGAGTATGTCCAAACCTTTTTTGTAGTTTTTGGAAAAATGTTTATTAGCTTTATGTGTCTTTTTGGGAAGATTTCTCTTAAAGGCCAACTCCTGGAAAATTAAAAGTTTGACATTTTACATGTGTAGTGCAGGCGCAGCCTCCTTGTAAAGGTAGCTGTCCAGTTCCAACTATTATCACCCTAAACTTTGCAAAATTTTCACAATTCACCCCTTCTTGACAAACAACACCAGAAAGCTACTAATTATCACCTCAACTATTGCAACTCTTTTCTCAGCCTACTTTTACACAGGTTATCCCCTCCTTTGGTCTATCATGTATGTTGCTGCAACTCATGCACCTCACCGACCATTCAATAGTTGCTGCTCTCCTCTGCTTGTACCTCCACTGGCTTCGGTTAGTCCAATATGTAAGTTTCAAAATACTAACAACATAAACAGCTATCCACAACTCTGCCCTCAGCTACATCACCAACCTCATCTCAAAACATTACCCAAATTGTTCATTCTGCTCTCTTGCTATCTAGCTCCCTCTTCACTCCCTCCCATGCTCAGCTTCAGAACTTCTCCCATCCTTTTGAGCTCCCTACACCAATCTGCCCAACTATCTACCCTCTCCGCTTTTAGGCAGTCCTTGAAAATTAAACTCTGTGGTAAACATTTTAGAATCAGGGAATCAAAAAATATTATTTGCATGTTCAACATGCACAGCAAGCAACAACTCTGCTATACACAGTAGAGATCAATACAATCAATAAAAGATCAGCTAGTTAGGTTTATACCAAAATCGCATATTCATTAATGCATCCCTGAACTCATTTATTGCATTACTAAGTTAAGGGAATTGTACTCAAAGACTGCAATAAAAACCCAATGCTGTTATTTTTTATCCTTCTCCATATGATCCAAAGCTAAAAGAAAGTTTTGGTCGATTTCAGCTTTTAGCTGTATCAAAGATCAAGCTTTGACGCACCTTATGAAGGCCTCGGCAATTCAGCAAAGCAACCAAATGATGAAAATTTCCCTCTGTTGTATTCAGCATGGCCTGGACCACTAGTAAATTTTTCTGTTTGGGAAAATAAGTTAGGAACAAAATCAGTCTTATCTTAAAGTCTAAAATCTAAATAAGATGCTTATGTATAAAGCAAAACATAACAGAACTGCTAACACCAAATTATTTTAATACAGCCTTGTGCTTAACAATGATGCTGGAAAGCACAAAATCTGAGATTGCTTGCTCACAGTCATTCAGAGGACAATACTGGATTTTGCGATTGTACATCATGAAATTAGAAATGATGAGAATGTTTTTGGCACAGAATTGTTCATTTTGCCTTATTTCAAAAGTGCATCAACATTAGCAACAAATGGGTAGTTGTTACAATACAAAGGCAAAAAAACAGGCAATTGCTACAAAATGAGGGTAACAAACAGGCAAGTGATATATTATGCAGGTAACAGGCAATTCCTACAAGAGGCCATGTTCCTTACAATATCTAACATCATATTTCTAGTTAATGAGAAGTGGACTGGAGTAAGCAGAGGCAAGTTAAGGCAGAGTTTCTATGCCAGTCACTTTGGAGGAGTAAAAAACTAGTGCTATTTGTGAGGCCAGTGAACCCTCTAACCCCATAGCTTGGTTTCTGCAATCTCAGAGTAAGGTGGGGTGACTGCATAAGTGGACAATTGAATTGTAAGGATGCAGGAAGAACTGTAGTTTATTTAGCTACACAAATCAGTAGTATTATGCCAGACAGTACTGTGTCCTCCTGATGGGGAATTTCACCCTGAAGAATGTTAATATCATGGGTGGGAATTAGAAATAGCTGTTGGTAATGGTCATTTTTCTCATTAGAGAAACAACAACAATAATATAAGGTCACTTTGTTATCTAGTAGTCACAGAAATTTACAACCAGAAAGAGGCAAACCATCAAAAAAAAAATAAGCCAGTAAAGCAGGTCAGAAAAGAAAAGAAGCTATATGAGAGAAGTATGAAAAGGCTGGGAGACCTTGGGAGGTCTCTTTTTTTTTTTTTTACTTTATTTCATATTGATGAAGACTTTAGAAGATAAATTATATTTTTTGGTCAGTTTTAATATGTAAACACTTACACTAATCTTTTTACTTTTTAAAAACATTTTTCCATTACAAGAATAAACTTTGGTTTTACTAATGAGCACTTACCACTTAAAACTTAGAATTAAAATTTAATTTGCAAAAGCATGTTGATGTTTTTTAATTAGAAACCCAACACTGCCTTTTCATTTGTTGACTGCCTGTAACTGAAACTCTTTAGGCCCCTTTCACACATGCGGACCGTTTGTTTCATCAGTTCAGTCACTTTTTTTTCAAAGACAAAATGAATGACGTTTACATCAGTTTTTCATCAGTTTTTCATTCGTTCACATCAGTTTTTCATCAGTTGACCATCAGTTTCTACATCCACCACCAATGCTAAAACTGATGCAAAAAAGGACCATTTGTCTGTTTACATCCGTTTTTCATCAATTACGTTTTTTTTTTTACAGAACAAAAAAAGGGTTTTAATTCATTTAAAAAAAAAGGGATGTTGACAGGTGCAGATTTAAACAGATGATCATCCGTTTATACATCCGTTTTTTCCATAGAGATGTATTGATGTCCATTTTTCATCCATCAATGGATGGATGAAAAAGGGGCAAACATCCCACACATGTGTAAGGTACCTTATTGGTTCAGACGGTGTGCACCTCTCTGACTCATTTAGCAGAAGATATGTCTTGTTAAGTAAAAATATTAATTTACTGGTAATCAACGAAAAGTACAAAGCTCCATCTTTCTTTCTTAACAACAAGATGATTTCTCTAATCATATGTCAGTCTATAATGCTTCAAAGCAACCCCTTTACCTCCTAAAACAAGGCCACTGCAGATAATCCAATGCAACTCCTTTACTGGAAGTGAATTGCACTTGGATATCTATTGCAACCATAATCAGAATCAAACTGAGACAAGATATGCAGAAGCCTTCCTGGCCAGCCTCCCATCTATGTGTATTCAACTTCAGCTGCCCCCACAGCCACTCCAACTTGCCTACTTTGAAGGCTGGAAACTAGGATACTCTAATTTAAACAAGTAACCATCACATACTCATGTGGGGACTAGATGGTACCAGGATGATTTGCGCAGACCTCTGCTATTAGCAGGTTAGCCGTCAAGTATACATTTTCTCTGTCCACATTCCTATGATTCACCTTACCTTGGAAACTGCTATCTCTCTGAGATTTTTATGGGCTCCTACCCACACGTGAACCACAATCTCCTCTCAGAAGCAAAGTATAGGTGGTTGGGTCCACACTTGCTGAACACACACTCCTCTGAAAGTGCTTGAAGTAACTTTTGAACTGGCTGTTAGTTTGGCATTTTTTTTTGCTTGGTAACTGGGATCTCTCTTTTTTTGTTTATTAAAAGCGATAATGCGTTGAACAGTGGAGATGGCTGCAACATTTGGCCAAAAAAAAGCTACAAGTGGTAGTAACATACCAGTGCGATATCAACATGATCTAACAGTTTGAAGTCTAACATTTAACTTTAAACATTGGGTAGGTGGCGGTCAGGCTTACACTTAATGGCAAAGGTAAGGGGGAGGAGGAGGCCTCTGTCAGTGAGCCTTTGAAATTAGGAAAAAGTGGTAATACATCCAAAAACAAAAATTGCATTGAAATGCAACTTGCCAATTTCCTTTGTATGTGTTTTTTTTCACATGTTACATTATTTTAATGCATCAATTTTTTTATGTTTTTTTCCTTTGTTTTTACCTGTTTATCCAGGCAGAAGTCTGCTAATTTGCAGCTTACTTTAACAGACAAGACTGTTCAGACAAAGTCTGAACAACTTATTTAAAATCTTTTTCCCAAAAGGAAAAAAAAAGTTTGATGTAACCGTTTATAAAGTGTTAGCTAGTGTTCAGATACAATTTGCTAGGTCAACGTTTCTATAAATAATGAGATGGAAGGGGAGTCAAGATAGATCCAATTATGCAAAATTGTGTTTTTTTGCTACTAGAGAGACGATGGAAAGTAATTGATTACATTCCTTGAAAATTCTAACTCAGGGGATGTCCAAAAACAGCCCATTCTGGGGATAAAGGCAGATAATTAACTAAATGTGAGATAGCATATCATTTTACTGTAATTCAGAATTGCTTGATCTCTGACCAGTCCAGAATGCATGATATAAATCCACATTTGAATGTTCACATTTAAGAGAACAGGAGGAAGGGTTTAGACCAGCAATGGGCAAACTACGGCCCACGGGCCGTATACGGCCCACGGGCCGTATACGGCCCGGCGGACCTTTTAATCTGGCCCGCGGAGCGTGGCAAGCATTGGCTGTCAGGATGTAGGCAGGACAGCGTGACGAACTCCTCTCCTCTCACAGTCCGCCCTGAAGACCGGAACGGCGCGGGAACACGGCGAGAGGAACGCGCGGAGCAAAGGTAAGTGAATTGACACAATATGGGGAATGAATTACTATAGGGGGGATGAATTACTATAGGGGGGATGAATTACTATATGGGGGATGAATTACCATATGGGGGATTAATTACTATGGGGGATGAATTACTATATGGGGGATGAATTACTATGGGGGATGAATTACTATGGGGGATGAATTACTATATGGGGGATGAATTACTATATGGGGGATGAATTACTATGGGGGATGTATTACTATGGGGGATGTATTACTATGGGGGATGAATTACTATATGGGGGATGAATTACTATAGGGGGGATGAATTACTACGGGGGATGAATTATTATAGGGGGGAATGAATTACTATAGGGGGGATGAATTACTATATGGGGGATGAATTACTATGGGGGATGAATTACTATATGGGGGATTAATTACTATGGGGGATAAATTACTATGGGGGATGAATTACTATATGGGGGATGAATTACTATATGGGGGATTAATTACTATAGGGGGGATGAATTACTATGGGGGATGAATTACTATGGGGGATGAATTACTATATGGGGGATGAATTACTATGGGGGATGAATTACTATGGGGGATGAATTACTATATGGGGGATGAATTACTATGGGGGATGAATTACTATATGGGGGATGAATTACTATAGGGGGGATGAATTACTATATGAGGGATGAATTACTATGGGGGATGAATTACTATATGGGGGATGAATTACTATGGGGGATGAATTACTATGGGGGATGAATTACTATAGGGGGGATGAATTACTATAGGGGGGATGAATTACTATAGGGGGGATGAATTACTATGGGGGATGAATTACAATATGGGGGATGAATTACTATGGGGGATGAATTACTATGGGGGATGAATTACTATATGGGGGATGAATTACTATGGGGGATGAATTACTATGGGGGATGAATTACTATATGGGGGATTAATTACTATGCTTACTATGGGGGAATATTACTATACTTACTATGGATGGCATGGTAGTGGCTGGGCCGGCCAGCAGCTAGTCCGGCCCCCGGGTCCAATATATGAACCCATTGCGGCCCTCAAGTCAAAAAGTTTGCCCACCCCTGGTTTAGACCCATGAAATATGTTTGGTGCAAAGATTTGTAAGAGTGATGAACAATTTGGAGTGTCAGTCATTTTATGATACATCATGGCCATTATATAGCCTGGAGACCACTGTTTCAAGTGGATTGGGATAGTTTAGGATGGTGTCCAGAGAGTTTTCCTGATCTTTTTAAGTGAATTGTTTACCAGTAGTGGTTATTTAGGATAGCACCTTCAGAAAGAGAAACAGATTATTAGATAAATAAGGAAACTTTTCCAGTGTCTCAGTCAAGGGTAATAGTTATTTGATGGTGGTAATAATTAAAGCAGTATTAAACCCAAAGCCAAAAATGTAATATGTTGTAGCTTACTAGTCATTAGATGTATTGGCTGTATTAGATTTCTTTTTTTAGGTTTAACCTTTGTTTTCCCCTGATGATCTTGCTACTAACACATCTCCTTATACAAACAACATTCTAGATGAATAAGCACAGGGGGCAGATTTGGACAGTAGCATTGTCAGTCTGGAGGTAGGGGAGTATTCAATGCATTAGCAGATTTAAATACAGTAACGCATTGAAGCCAAACTCCAGCTAATACTTTCTAATCAGTTACAGCAAACTGTCTTTTCATTTTGGGATAAAAGTTTTGCATAAATAAAAGCTGATCACAATCACACTACCAGTGTTAAATAGTCTGTCTTATCCCTGTTACCGCAAGACAGCTTTTCTGTTAAAAAAGCAGACTTGCTGGCTGGATCACCAGATGAAAATAGAAGAAAGAAAACCTAAGAAAGAAAACTAATGCAGCAATCATATCTAAGAAATGGTAAGCTGCAATATAATAAATGTTTACTTTTGGGTCCAATATTTCTTTAAGGATATGAATAATGAACTCTTTGTGGTGCCAATGTTTAATAGCAGGGTGTTCTGCTGATTCTGGGAAGTCCAAATTGTTCCGCATTGCGGAATGGACATGCTTGGCTGTCTAACATACATTGGGTTTACAAATTTTATGCCATGTGAGCCAGGTAGTATGTAGGAGGAGGTTCATGGTCACATCACCTGGAGGCCAAAGCTCCTTGTGTTTATGGAGAGCATATAACAAATGAATGTGAATTAGCATATTCTGGTTAAGATCTTTGTGTATACTGAAGTGCCATGGATCCAGTCATTTACATATCTGGTGAGAGAAGCTAAATTATACATGTCAAGGTCAGGTGGATTAAATCCTCCATTACAGCTCCATTACAACTGCTATAAAGTGCGTAGACTTTGCGTTTTAATGTGCTCAGCAACAAGTTGGGAAAAAAAGCAAAACGCATCAAAAACACATAAAAACTGCATGTGCAAAACGCACCACAAAAATCACTGCAGAAGTGGATCAAGCGCAAACCGCATAGGTGTGAACCTAGCCTTATAGTTGTTCCAAATAAACTCCAGAAACATTTTGTAGATACATTTGAAGTCTACGTGTTTTAATTAGATGGGTAGAACCTGGATAGTGTAGAAAGGTTTGGGGAAGGCTAAAATTTTATAGAATCCCACTCTACCCAAATAAGAAATGATTACATATTCCCAGGTAGAAAGGGCTGCTGTGAGTGAGCGTAATAGGAGAGAAATATTGAGCCTATATACATTTTAAATGTTCTTAAAAATTGACACACCAAAGTATGAGATTTTATCATTACACCAAACAAAAGGATAATGGTTGTTCCAGGAAGGTTAGGTGTGTTTGCTTAGGTAAAGTGCCTTAAGATTATCAAAGTTAATGTCATAGCTGAAAATCTGACCAATTGAGGAACTATGGGGAAATATCCTGGAAAGAGAGAATTCAGGATGAGATATGTATAGAGGTAAGTGTACAATCCAAACGCACACGTTCCTATGTTAAAAATGGCCGTGAGTATAAGTGGGTGCTGCAGTGACTGTCTGCTGGAACTAAACAGAATCAGAAAGGGAGAATGTCACCAGCACATCGAGGATCACCAATATGGGTCCAAACGTTTTAATGAACGATCACATAGTTACAGCAAGGCAACGTTTCGGAGTCTCGCAGGACCCCTCATCAGGCATGTGAGGTCACATGCCTGATGTATAGAGGTAAGTCATCTGCAAGCGTTGTGATTTTCATTGTCTTGTGACCTACAGGTATACCTTGAAAGGTAGTTTGGGAGTTTAAAATCCATAAAAGGGTGCCTAGTGCAAGGTTAAACATTATGTGGGAAAGAGTTGGTAGTCTCCTGTGTTCACATACTGGTGACTTTAGGCAATCCCTCCAACCCAGTCAATATACTATACTATTTTGGAAACTGTTACATTCATATTCCACCTTTCTACTACTTGTTTGTAGGGTTATGGCCACTTCCAGGCCACAGTAGGCTAAGAAATGCATGCAAGACTGTATGACACACTAAGCTTAAACACAGTGGGCTAGATAGTGGTGGTATAGGGGGGACAAACAGTACATTAAACACATTTCCCAGCATAAACCAGATTATTGGTATGAATAATAAACAATTCTAATAATGTAGAGAAGAGAGAGAGGTGCGCCAGACTAAGTGCAGTAGAATAAAAACAGTTTATTGCACACAAGATATTAAAAACTCACAAGACGTGGGTATACATCAGGCATCAGGTATAGGAAGGAGAACATCATCTGAACTGCACATCACAGACGGATGGCTGCAGTGCCAGGGTGTATCTAATGGCTGACACTCTAGGCGGATCCCAACAGAAGGAACGAGGATGGCAGGCGCAGTTACCGGGAGTCGCGGTGCAGGAGGGAACCGTGCTCAGTGCGGACGCTGCTGGTCTCTCATATCAGCATAGTTGATGGGGCCAGCTTGAGATGCATCCAAGATGGCCGCAGAGCGGAAGTGACGTCAAGACGTTGTTAGGAATCGTCCTAGAAAATGCGTCACCGCCCCCTTTGGACGATTCCTAACAACGTCTTGACGTCACTTCCGCTCGGCGGCCATCTTGGATGCGACTCCCGGTAACTGCGCCTGCCATCCTCGCTCCTTCTGTTGGGATCCGCCTAGAGCGTCAGCCATTGGATACACCCTGGCACTGCAGCCATCTGTCTGTGATGTGCAGTTCAGATGATGTTCTCCTTCCTATACCTGATGCCTGATGTATACCCACGTCTTGTGAGTTTTTAATATCTTGTGTGCAATAAACTGTTTTTATTCTACTGCACTTAGTCTGGTGCTCCTCTCTCTCTTCTCTATTCCTCTACTACAGAGTCCGGTTTACTCTAGAGAGTGCAAGCCTCACGACGGTGCCTACATTGCAGCTTTGTATGTATATATATACACATATATGTATACCATCTGTTCCCCTCCTTCTCCTACTACTCAAGCTGTACTACCTGCCTTATACTCCGTATATACATATATATATGCCCCATTCCTTGTGTCATTTTGAGTTTTTTTTAAAAATAATCCCAAAGAACTGAACTCTATATATATTGTTTAAGACTTTTTTGTGTGAACACTATACCCATCTCCATCTCTCTTGCGCCAATTATATCTTTTGTTTGTCTGTCAATTCTAATAATGTAACTACCTTAATGCCCTAGTCTTTGGGCACCAAAATGTTTGTGGGCGCTGTTCTGTAAAATGAAATGTGTTTAACAAGATATCCTCACTGGAGGTTCCAGTACCACCCTACTGTTATGCTCATTACTGAGTTAAAAGGTGCTCTTGCACTAATATTTCATAATGTAAAATAAGCAAATAATTAATTAATCCAAGTGTGGGAGGTTTACACTTTTTTATGCTTTGTGGAAAGCGACAGAGTAACAAACGACTGCATACAAACTTTTCTCTTGGCCTAATTAATATTTTCCATGTATAACTAAAATATCAGCTGTGGCTGGAACTGCATTTTGCTACTATATAAATTACATGTACTTACTTCTGCTGTTGGAAATTGTGGTATTGCTTCTTTTTCCAAACCGTGAAGCTGAGGATGAATGTTGGACAGAGATCTCTGTGACATGGTCAATTTCTGTGAAAGAAGAACTAGATTTATCTACGTATGTACATACGCAACAAACATACACATTATCTCTAGTAAAAATTGTAGAAGTTTCATAGTAAGCTTTTATTTAATATAAAAGGACAAACATTCATGCAATTACCTGAGAATTTAAATAAAGATATTAAATGTATTATTAGAAGTGACTTGTGTAAGTACCGGAATATGGCTTATTATCATCCCCCACTGTAATACCCTGTGCAGGAGATCTGGGGATGTAAAAGTGACGTAGCAGTAATACTTAACTGCAGCAGAGTAATGTCAGGTCATCAACACGGCTCTGTTGTCTGCTGGGCTGTGTAAATTTTGAAATTGGATGGACAGAACTACAAAATCCTTTTCCCTGATGAAGGGGCAAGACTTAGCCCCCAAAATGCGTCACCTATATTTGCAGTTTTCACCTGATTTAACAATGGATTAAACTTTTATCTCGATTTTACAATCATCCTATGAAGCTCTAACTCTAAATTAATGGTATCTACTGCAGTAGAATGACAGTCATTCTACTTGCATTTTCAGCAGAAAAGGTTAGTGGCTGCTTGCATATTTCTATCAGCTCAGGTGAACTAGACTTAACCTAAAATGTTTCTAAGGTGCTGAAATACAGAAACCTTATGGTTCCTCTGCGTTAATCATTAACATAATTTCTGTGTCCATGTGGAGCCCACTTGGATTCCAGGTCTGGCTACACATCATCTTCTGCCCAAATTGAGATGATGCCCCATCACTTCCTGACAGTAAACCCCACTCCCTGTCAATTCACAATCAAATACAAGAGCCTCTACTGCTCACTGGAACAAAATTGAAATCCATTTATATCATAGGATACAAAGAACTTTCAGAAGGTCACAAGGGTTGACACAGGTACTTGCAGGGACCAAATGGGCCCTGTAGTGCTGCACCACTGGAACCCTAGAAACCTTTTATGTTAGGGTACTTGAAGGGACCAAAAGGTCCTGCACTGCTGTACCCTTGCAATCCTGGAAAACCTTATATTGATTCTCCCAGCTTTTGCATAAATTGAACATAGAATCTGTAATCTGAAGAAAACAACCAATACATAATTTGGTGCATTATTTGCTAGGATCAGTGTTTAAACTTTGAACAGGAGACAGGGTTTGATCTTAGAGAATAATAACCAATCTGCCATGAACCTATCTTAAAGAATATGTAAACCAAACATTTCATATTCCTTATATGTGCCTTGCTGTACTGTATACAGCAAAGAGTATCCTGTTATCTTCGTATTACTTCCTTTGTTTGGAATCCATGGTGTCCCCACCAGTCCCTTTGCTTTCCTATTAAAAACAGACTACACTAGGCATGATAGTACAGCATGGTCAGTTCTCTGGCTGTGCTGGAACTCAGACTGCTCTCCTCCAATGAACAAACTTGTCTTGACTCCCTCCATGCACAGGCATTCACTGGGTAGACCAGTATACTGCTGTTTCTCTTACTGGGGCTCCTTATGCTGCTGAGAACAGAGATTATGGGGTTGATTTACTAAAACTGGAGAGTGCAAAATTTGGTGCAGCTCTGCACAGAAACAAATCAGCTTCCAGGTTTTTTTTTTGTCAAAGCTGAAGTTAGAAGCTGATTGGCTATCACACATAGCTGCACCAGATTTTGTATTTTCCACTTTTAGTAACTCACCCCTTACAAAAAAGGGGAAATGTATTTATAATCCTTTTTATAGGTATATATAAATGTTTTGCCTTTCATTTCTATTTTAATCTGCATGGGTTGTTTTACAAGGTGATGGTTTACATATTCTCTAAGCTTAGCATATGCACCTGATCCCAGTGAGAGCTACAAATGCAGTGATTGGTAAGCACTGGGCCAAACAAAGGATAAGTCTGCTGAAGAAAGGCTGTTTTCTGCAGAAATCATTAAGTATGTATACTTTAATTTTAGGTGCAGAGGGTAGTAGTGGGGACACTTTTCCTTTAAAGCATATGTGAAAGAAAAAAAAGAACACAGAATCTGTGATCTGAAGAAAACTGTCTACATAATCCAGTGCATTATTTACTTGAACCAGTGCTTGACTCTCTGATTACATTCAGCTTAAGGCACCAAGTTAGTGGAGGGTTTGATCTTTCAGAACAATAACAGATCTGCAAAATCCTCACCTTCAGCTAGGCGCAGATGCCTGACCTCGACCTGGAACAGGCGCGGACTGACCATTCGCGCACTTGGGCACTGCCGAGGGCCCGTGGTCAGTAGGGGGCCCCATGAGATGCCCCTGGTACCTTTTTCATAGGCTTTTTTGGGTGTGGGCAAGGACACAGGGGCCCCATGATTCCCTATTGCCCGGGGGCCCCATGAGTTGTGGGTCTGCCGCTGACCTGGAATATATGCACTTTTCCCCATGTGTTATCCCTTAAATATGCTGCAAATACAGAGAAATATCTGTTGATGTTCTAGCAATATAGCATGCTCCTACCCTTCTATTTGACATGACAACACAGCTTGGAATTCTTAGGTATGTAGTGTCAGCCCTGCCTACTATAATTCTGATGAAACAAAAGAACACAGATCTCTCCTTATCTCTTCCCCCTCTTCATCTCCATAACCTCTCCTTACACATTGATAGAGAGCACAGGAAATTATCAACTCATAAGGTTTATGGCAAAATCAACAGGTATTTTCGGTACTCATCAAAGAGATAATATAGCAAAACACTTTCAATGGTAAATTTAGTATATGAAAAAAAGAGCAAATTAGAGAAGTTCATTTTTAGGGTTTAGATATAATTTAATTTCTTTCAGAAATGATGCATACAGTATATTGATGTTTAAATTGTTTAACAATTATTTAGTGTAATTTAGCATTACCTGCCGGAAGGGGTTTGTTACATCCTGGTTACATGTAATGTAATACTCTAAAATATCTAAGATAAAAGAAAAAAAAATAAAGTTTAGATACTGGAAATCAGCAATACGTTTGACAGAAATATCACTCATCAAAATGCATCTATTTTACGTAATCATACAAGTAAATCCAAAGTCAATGTAAGAGCAAATCTTTATTTTTATTTTAAATTACACAGTATGGTAATTTAATGTCTTAAATGAGAAATCCCCTCCCTCTCATTTTATTTCAGGTCAGGAAGTAAAGGAAAATCTCTCGTGCAGGACACAGCAAACAATAACCAAACAGGGGTTTTACCTTCCCTACTCTATTATACTCTAAAAAAAAGTCCTTATATACACTAAGTAATGTATATATATATTTTTTGGAATGATTTATAGGGGAGATAACATACATAGGTATTAAAGCCAATAAATTTACACTACAATTTGGGAAACAATTAGACTTAGAGATTATAGTTGCCAGACACCACTGGCCGTTAAAGTGAATGTAAAGTCAATGCTTTTTTTGTTTTTTAGTTTTTGAATAGAGTAGAGTGCTTAAAATCTAAATGCAGCCATAAAACCCCCCCCAGAAAAATCAACACAAGGGACGTAACTTACAATTAGTAAGCTGTGTTCCTTGTGCTGATGTCTCTTCTTTTTGTTGAAATGTTCCTCCATCCATACCCAATCACCCCCACCGCTGTAATCTTCCAGTGCTGCATGGGTTCATAGGACTAAAAGGCTGTCACAGGCCCACTATGCCCACCCTTTCTACCCAGCTCCTCCATTCATAGAAGATGTACTAGAGCTTCTGAATGAAAAGTGATCTATGAATGGAGCAGGTGGACCTATCAGCCCTGTTTCTGTGCTACAGTTTCTATGAATGGGACAGCTAGGAGAAAAGAGGGGCATAGTAGGGATTCTTGATGAAAATTTTGAATTTCCCATTACTTTCTGTCTCTGTAACAGAGGTCACAGGGACAGATACCAATAAAAACCCAGAAATCCATCCAATCCATCCAGCACCATACCCATTTGCCAGACACTGGAGTACTCAATTTATGATTACAGTGTGGTATAGCTGAATTACAAAAAGAAACCAGCACACCAACCATGTACCTAAAAAATGTTTTGAGGTTAAAATTCAAAAACATAAATTCACTGAGGTTAAAATCCAAGAATGGTTACAAAAAAAAGCTAAGAAATAACATAGCATCCCCCACACTTTGGGGTCACAGAGAACCTTTTTCTCATGATGAATAGCAAGGATACAGACATCAGTTAGCTTCACTTGAGCAAGGGGTCCTCTGTGGCCCTGAAATGTGGTAAATTATGTTCTATTTAATTTTTTTACCATTTTGTATTCTGACCTCAATACATTTTTAGGCTTCATGGGCAGTGTGCTGGCTTTTTCTTTAATTTAGCAATAAATAAAAATGACAGAGAGTCTAAACCCATTTAAAAACTAAATAAGGAGGTCTTGGCTATATTCAATTTAGACTGAATTTTCAGTTTAAATAAACTAAATATAATCCAGGTACATCTAAACAAAAGGGGCACTGTTTTCTTCAGAAGTCAGCCAGAAAAGTCTGTCCCCTTCCAAGATGCAGCAGAGATGGACCCTTCCTCTCTCAAAAGTCAGGCATGCTCCCTGTTGAGTTAGCGCGAGAGCTCTCCAATCATCAGGGAGCAGTGGGGCAGGGAATATCTTGGCCACTTATGATTGGTGGTGTGCAGTAACAGCTTTGCGGTGGGATAGCTCAGGTGGGTTCAGACTAGAATCCGAACACGCTTGAGCTCATCCCTAATCACCTCTATGAGCTTACAGCCAGAGATGAGGTTCATCAAATCCTGCGGTTTAGGATTTCCCAGTCCTGATGAATTTATGCCAAAATTCACCCTAAAGAACTTTTTTAATCCTAAATTCACTGCATGGCCTTTGAACTAGGCTTAAAATACTGAATCTGCTCTAAGGAAAGGATAGGGAAAACTGACAAACTGCAAATAGAGAGATTAGAGTCAGTTAGGAAACTGTACTTTAATTCTGATTGCTAGCTCTTGGTGTCAGCATTAGCTCTTTGTGATTAATGTTTTAATAAATGTAATAAATATTTATACTGAATGCAGTTATTCTGGAATTGATTCTGGTTAACTTTTAAACTGAGTCTGTTGTAGCCACATTTACTGTACAATAGTATGTTTTTCTTCATGTTGATTTGTTTAATTTGTGCCAGCTGACTCCAGATTACATTGTGGAACCTAGCAACCTTCTCTGGGGTTTGACATATGTGAACAAATTACACATGAGCAGCCACAATTGTCCTTACAGTATCTGGCTAATGCTGCTCATTACTGTAGGTTTGTATGCAGATTTGCTAACATTACGGAGTGAATTCTCTAGCTCTTTGGCCACTTTGATCATGCATAGATGTACTGTAATCTACTAGCGACTCTAAACAATATCGTTATTTTTCAAACATAATTCATACACATCTACTACTTAATGACTCTATAATCTATTTTTCACTAAATCATTTCTTACTGTATTTTTTTGCCTCCCTGTAACATCTTCCGTGAATCCAGATTCCTTCCTTTTTACCCCCTCACTTCAGGTTTTGTTTTTTTTGAAATGAGCAGTGAATGCTGGTAGCAATCATATGCACTGCTCTATACACACTAACCATCCCATAGTTCAAAGTCCCTAATCTCAAGAGTGAGCAATTGAGCATGACTATGCTCCTATTTGCAATGGGACCATGGAGAATTAACATAGCCACCCTCTAACAGGAAGTCTGGTCACAGCAAAAAAAATGTAATTTCGAGATTGGGAGGAGGCTGAGAGCAATATAAGGTACTGTACTTCTTTGAGTTAAGAATACATACTTGAATAGAATATACTGTACATAATGTATATTTATAAACCAGAGTTTAGTGTTACCTTAATTTTCTACTATATCTCTGTGAGTTTTTTGAGTTGTGAAATTTTAATCAATCTGCTGCCAGCACACAAAATGTTGTCAAGTATAGGTTTCCTAAATTCGATTTATCAAAAAAATATTCCTACCTGGACTGATGTTTGTAATGACCTGAGTCTGATTCATCATATACGCATCTGGATCCGAACAGAAATCGCTTAATCCCTGCAGAGATTATATAACAATTTAAATTAAAAATCAAGGAGAAACTATAGGCAACATATCAGATTACTTAATTTGTAGGTGGAAGCAGTCTGCTTTGTCCACTGTGTGTGGTGCTAAAACCTGAGTGGTACCACAGCAGCATGCTGGTTGGATACACTGCAGCCTTGTGACCCTTGGTGACCATCTTGGGTTAGTAGGGTCTATATAAATCCCTGCCCCTGGGATTTGGCATGCTTTTCTGCAAATGGCTAGGATAGGGAGAGATACCCTGATTGCTAGGGAAAGTACTTAGTAGCAGGGAGAGGTTCCAGACAAGAAGGGACAGGTTAGGGACTCACTTTCCTGTAAGGAAACCTCCCCGCTTGGGACCAGACCAGTAGTAGATAAACACACCAACTATGGGTGTGATTAATAGGTACACCTGTGTCATGTCCTTGATTGTTAGTATTACCCCTATTTCATAGTAGGATCACATGAACTTTTTTAGGCACCATAAACAACAGATTAAAATACAAAACATATTTTATTATTGTACAAAAATTGTTTAAAATGCTGAAGACATATTAAAAAATGCTTAAGCAATAACAGATGATCAGGTCCAGTGGGTGATACAATTGCATAAGGAAATAAGAGCCCCAATGAAAGGGGGGTGGGGGTGGGGACTTTTATCATACATTTCCGACACCCAGTAATATTAATTAATATTACTTATCAAGTAATTAATATTTCCTTTTGTTTTAAGGGGCCTTTTCGATAACTGAGGAAGACACTAAGCTTCCATCTACCTCTTAAGTCTTGGCTAAGGGCCACATGGAGTCTATATATGGCCTTTGGATAAATATTTAGAAGTCTATGTAGAGTGTGCCAGCCATTGAGTAAGTAGATACCCAATTATATACTATATTTGGCTGCATTCAGCCCTGGGCATAAAATGTATTCCTAGTACTGATTCATATACTTATACTGTATATACTCCTTTTTAGAAGGACTCCATTCCTTATTGTACTAGTCTCCACATCAGTTTGGGTGTCCATCATCCGGGTCTGGGTTGTCCTTTCTGTCCATTCTCTATGATGTTTCCTTCAAATGTAAGTCATTGCAAATAAATGTTCTAAATGGTATAAATACAAGCTATGTACATGTGACTATTTTTGTTTTTTTGCTTCCATCAATATAGAATATTAGTTTCAAGCTCCTGAAGAAGCGATCATCATCGGGACACATGTTGAGCTCATCAATGTGACCTTCATGGGGCAAACTGGGTGTAGGAAGTTTATGACCAAAGTGCCCCCCATTTCCATTGGGGCTCTTATTTCCTTTTGCAATTGTATCACCCACTAGACCTGACCGTCTGTTATTGCTTAAGTATTTTTTAATATGTCTTCAGCATTTGCATTTTTTTTTGTTGTTCAATAATAAAATATGTTTTGTATTTTAATCTGTTGTTTATGGTGCCTAAAAGGCAGTGATCCTACTATGGGATAGTGGTAATACTTGGGACCAGACCGGCCGGGCCATGCTCTCCTACTTCTGAAACCGATGCTGTTGGCATCTCTCTTCAGCCACCTCGTGAGCTGCACTGAAACTGTGAGTGCTCCCCTAAGCGGCACTCAACCACTAGGGTGTATGTAACTTTGGCATTCTACTCAATATAAGTTTCAAGTTTCTGTGTGATTAATGCCATCACACCATGCTGTACCTCTCTACAAACTGCTACTACCATCCAAGAAATTGTATTATTGTGTAAAGAAAGAAAGCTTACTTCATGCACCTCTATCAGAATGTACATGCCCATGCCACACTTAACTGGGATCAAGTTCAGGATTATTCAGAAATAATACTGGCAGAACTTGGCAGAACTAGCTGCAAAAAAAAGTGGAATACCAGGACAAAAACCAAAGCCGCTCATCAAGTATGTAATGTTCCAACTGAATTTAAAGTGCACTACAGAAACTGAACTCAGAGCCCCCTAAAAACTTAAAAACAAAGCAGAAAAACAGCCCTGCAGCAATATAATAATGGCAACCTTTCTTTTTATAATCTAATCGAATCCTTTTAGGTGCTTAAATAGGTAGATTCAGCATTCACTGGTCACTATAGCAATGCATTTTGTTTTATAATTCTTTATAGAAAGCCTTTCCTAATCATGCATTTTTACCTTAAAAATTTTTCCTTTAAAACCATAAAGGCATAAGAAGCAATTGTGTGATTTAACCTACTAGTATCCAATCGAATTTAAAATCTTTACATATTCCACCCATGTGTCTAGTTTGCAAAGTTATGCAAATATTTCCTTAGATTGTTATCATGCAAAGCATAGAGAGATAGAAAATACAGCTGATTAGACCATCTCTTCTCTGCCTCCATCGTAATGTGATCTTTGCATGACGGTGAACATCTCATCCTGCTGTTTTCCCAGTAGACGGAGCAGATGAAAGCTTTCACATTTCACTTTGCATTGAATGACTCCCCCCGCTCTTATTCTACTATTCACATAATAGTAATGAACTTGAACTTCAGACCCATAGGGAGTTAAATGTGGCTTAAGGAGGAGGAAAAGGTGTCTGTGAATTGGGCAACGTGATTCAGGTTCAGTACAACTGCATTAATACCTCATTTTGGAGGCTAATTAAAACTGACAGATGCGACAGAGGGTGAGGGGTGGGAGAAACCACTGACCCAGCACATAAAATAGACCAATTAAATTATCTCGCTTCATGGGGCTTGATGGGCGTGCAAGCAGGACAAAGAATAGAACAGAGGCGGGGGGACCTGCCAGCAGAGAGCAAATGAAAGACACAGCACAGTTGCTGACAACCGATTCATAAAAAATGGAGGATTAAACCTATATTTCCATTTTGGGAAAACTGCAGGAGGGTGTCTGCGAGAGGAAACTTTCCTGAATTCTGGAAGTGCAAATTGCCAATCACATATTTCAAGTCACAGACATGTGAGAAGTTTCTGGTGTGAATGTTTAAAGGGCCAGTACAAATGAGGAACATCAACACCCCAGAGACTGCAAGGAAAAACTTTACATTGTGGATAAATAAGAACAAATATTTCAGAACCTTGCAGATTCTCTTTCCATCTTGGTTTTCAAACAGTAAAGTACCATGCAGAACCTCCACTGTAACTCACTCTGTAAGCTACTAAGTAGTCTGCCTATGAGTTTTTCTCCACTTTTCTGATTAAAGAATTCCAGGAATGGTATATTTTTTTATATAGATACATTGGCACAGCTTGGATCAATGTAACTATATACTATACCTGGCCCCTAGAAGCTGGAAATCACTGAAGTAGATACAACTAATCCAGTGATCTCCACTTGCTTCTGGGTCCTGTGCTGAACATCCAGGCACATGCATTGTGAATACAGGAGGTCATCCACTCACTATGGGCACCATTCAGAGAATGCTTTGCACTCTGGAATGAATGCAAAGTGTTCTCTGATTGGATGAGGTGGACAAGCAAGGCAATGACGTAATGCATTCCACCTTGTCCAATCAGAGAACATTTTGCATTAATTCGGAAAATGCAAAGCATTCACCAAATGGTGCCTGTGCTGCGAAGCAGACCTCCTGTGTTCACAATGCATCACACCAACCCCTTTGCAGTCAGCAGAGGACCTGAAACAATTGGAGATCACTGAAATCTACTTCAGTGATTTCCAGCTTCCAGTGTCTGCTAGCATTGATTTCCAGGGCCATTGGACAGGTATGGTATATACATAGTTACAATGATCCAAGATAGACTATGTAAAATATACTATGCCTGGAATTCATCTTTAAAATGATCTGCAATTCTAGTTTATATATTGGCTTTGTATATATTTGTTTGCATTCATATTAAGCATAACAACTGTAATTATGGAATAAAAAAAATATTGCATATACATATTTTGTATTCTTACTTTCAAACAGCAAGTAGGCTCATTTTCACACGCGTACCTGATTAGCCTTATTTTCACTACTGAAAGAAAGCTGTTACTTACAGATCTCAGTAACTCAAACTCAAATGTAGACATACATAACTTCATTAGGCATAGCAGTGACTCATGCCCTCTCTCCCCCCCCCCCCCTCTCCTGCTGTGTAACACGGAGCTCCTTCAGATGTTTTAATCAGAGTAAGAGAAGAGGGTGATGGGGAAGGTGCTCTCTATAGAAAAAAAAATAACGTGCATTTCTAAATTATTTGTGAGTGTACCCTGAATTAAATTATTATTTTTTATATTATTTTAATATCCCTCTCCAGTGCATTTTTGTATACAGTTCTCTCCCCATAAACTGGCTGGTGCTCACTTAGAAAAAAGTCAGCATAAGTGAGAAATTAGATTCATCTTATTTTTCTATTGTATTATTGAGTTTGAGTATATATTGTACTTTTTACTGAATTTTTTAATATTATGATCTTTGCCTTTCACATCCGAGCTGACAACTCTTTAAAAAAATGCTCCAGTTTTTTTGTGCTTTAGACCTGCCAAAGAAGGTAGAACCTCCAAGATTTGTTATCTACCAACTCTCCCCAACACTCTACAGCCTGGACAATTTTCCCTTCTCATCTGAGCCATGAGCACACTGCCAGACACTACTAATTATGGTAGTTTCTGCTGGGCTTCTTTTCACATCATCCAGCTAGGATCCAGGACTCACTGCATGGCAAATACAGCTCACCTTCTGGCCATGTAGAGCTGCCTCCTTTCAGGTTCACATAATTTATACCATACACTGTGACTGTAATTACATGTATATATTAAAGTGACTTTTATATTACTGCACTTAGGTCTCTGTGCCTTGTACTTTATTATTTTATTGTTTTAACAGGGAAATAATAACTTGTTATAAGCACCACTTCTGGTTAGAATACCAAATAAAATTAGCAGGCTTCCAATAAGAGCATTTTGTACTTCTCACAATAATCCAAAGTAGTCTGTTTTCCAGAAATATTGAGTTGAAAGTATCAGCTCGCACCATTTACTCCTCTGTCCTCCGGATGGCAAAGCAATATGATTATTCTTTTGTAAATTGATTGGCTATAGCCAACAAATTTAATGCTCCATGGTAGGATTGTTATAGTTATAATGTTTCCTGCAACTGCGTTCTTTTTCACTGAACTTCTTTCAATTGCCTTTCCACACCTAAATGTCTCTATCAGGAAGATTCACATCATTCACTAAGCTCTAGGAAAAATCCCTTTGTAAAGCGAACAGCTATTTTGCCTTCAGTGAATCAACCCCAGTAAATTATCCATATTGATGTCAAATGATAAGAGAAGGAAATCAAGTAGGGAAACTATAGATAAACCACCAACACCTATGTGAACCAAATGTAAAATAAACATGAGCAGCTTAGTGTCACATAAAATGAAATCCCATCAAACAGCGTTTGCAATTATCAATAAATAAATACATGAAAATAAAGTAAAAAAAACAAATTAAAAAAATTATAAGTGTCCAAATAAATCAGAAGTGTCCAGATAAAGTCCCAAAAACATATATTTGGTATTCTGTGTGTTTTTCACCCACCTGACTCCATTGGATCCATAAAAAATAGTGCTCCCACTGTGTCAACAACAAAACAATCTGCACTCACCAGGCCAAGTTGAACCCTTGTTTACACAAGAAAGTCAATCATCGCTGATGACAGGAACCATCACTTGAGTCCAGAGTAGAAGGAAACAAAATATATGTTTTTGGGACTTTATCTGGACCCTTATGATTTATTTGGACTCTTATGGAGTTTTTGTATTTAATTTTTATATGAATTTATTTATTGATGATTACAAGCACTGTTTGATGGTATTTCATTTTATAGATAGACCAGGAATTAACAATTGTTATGAGATGGGCACGCAACCAATGCTTTTAAAATTACAATACTTGTTTAGAATAACCTTTTTCTACCTTAAAACAACTTTTGGTTGTTGTATCAGATTTTGGCATTATATTAGATAGTTTACATTTACTGATAAATCCAGCAGTAGCAGCTTGGTGAACACACATTCTATGTTAGTCACAGTTTCAACCCATGCCCTGTGCCTTTATATCATCTCCTGTAAAGATCCCAAGGTATGTGACACAGGAAATTGCAAATGGCAAGTCACATCCTCTCCCATTTCCAGATGCCATCCTGCTGCTTAAAATGCTAGAGTTCAAGGAACGTCTCCCTTTCACCCTGCCACCTCAGGGAAGGTTTTTACCCTGTGAGTCACAGTTGTAGAAAAATATTACTCTGAAAAACATTTTATTGACAAGGTCAGTATGTATGTATAATACATGTTTTTACTGCTAAATGTCCACAAACTTTGCAGATTAAGAAAAAACAAAACATTTCTTAATGGTTTAAATCCAAATTGCAGGTGGAATAAAAAGGTGCCACAACCCACTATTAGTTACAATTAGAGATGAGCGAAGTATTCAAAAATTCGATTCGACTGATTCGGCGAATTCGTGGAAAAATTTTGATTCGAGTCGAATATATTCGGAGACTTAATATTAGTGCTGAACACTGTACCTTTAATTTAAATGCCCTTGGAGTCTGCTGGGGAAGAGAAATAATACTGTCAGGCAGTATGACATGCAGATGAGTGCCGTCGATCTTAGAATCACCGCACACTTCACTCATTTGGCCAGTCACGGGGCCAAAACCAGAGTGTGGAGCCACAGTGTGGCGGTGGAGGCAGCAGCAATGGGAGGCCATACAGCACCCTATGACAAAAATGGAAACCACCAGCAGTGTGAGGAGACCTGAAAGTGGCACATGGCAGAGTGTGGCGATAGAGACAGCAGCAATGGGAGGCCGTACAGGGACCCATGACACACTCTGGACCTGGCAGCAGCATGAGGAGGCGGTACAGGGGCCCATGGCAGATTACGGGCCTGGCAGCAGCATGAGGAGTCGGTACGGGGGCCCATGGCAGATTACAGGCCTGGCAGCAGCAATGGGAGGCCGTACAGGGACCCATGACACAATCTGGACCTGGCAGCAGCATGGGGAGGCGGTACAGGGGCCCATGACAGATTACGGGCCTGGCAGCAGCATTTGGAGTCGGTACGGGGGCCCATGACACACTCTGGACCTGGCAGCAGCATGAGGAGGCGGTACAGGGGCGCATGACAGATTACGAGCCTGGCAGCAGCAACTTGGACAGGAGGACGTTCAGTTCTGCACCGTCTGGTGCGTGCTCGCAAACTGTTGTCTCTTGGAAACGGATTCCAAGAAAGACTGCTGACGGAATCCGTGAAGAGGAGTAGCAGGAGAAGGAGCATCTGAACGAGCGGAATATGCCAACAAGCGACAACAGGGGCCATGACAGATTACGGGCCTGGCAGCAGCATGAGGAGTCGGTACGGGGGCCCATGGCAGATTAGGGGCCTGGCAGCAGCTATGGGAGGCCCGTAATCTGCCAGCACCCTATGACAAAAAATGGACCCACCAGCAGTGTGAGGAGACCTGAAAGTGGCACATGGCAGAGTGTGGCGATGGAGACAGCAGCAATGGGAGGCCGTACAGGGACCCATGACAGACTCTGGACCTGGCAGCAGCATGAGGAGGCGGTATAGGGGCCCATGGCAGATTAGGGGCCTGGCAGCAGCTATGGGAGGCCCGTAATCTGCCAGCACCCTATGACAAAAAATGGAATACACCAGCAGTGTGAGGAGACCTGAAAGTGGCACATGGCAGAGTGTGGCGATGGAGACAGCAGCAATGGGAGGCCGTACAGGGACCCATGAGAGACTCTGGACTTGGCAGCAGCATGAGGAGGCGGTATAGGGGGGCCCATGGCAGATTAGGGGCCTGGCAGCAGCTATGGGAGGCCCGTAATCTGCCAGCACCCTATGACAAAAAATGGAACACACCAGCAGTGTGAGAGGAGACCTGAAAGTGGCACATGTTTGGGGCATGATTCATGGCGGATTTAGTCAGTTGTGTCAGGAACTGGTGGTTTGAAATCCAGACTAATCCACGCCTGATTCATTTTCACAAACGTCAGTCTCTCCACACTTTGGGTGGACAGTCGTGTCCTCCGCGGAGTTGCAATACCTCCTGCCGCACTAAACACGCGCTCCGATGCCACGCTACTGGCCGGGCATGACAGCCTTTCAAGGGCAAATTCAGCTAGTTGGGGCCAAAGGTCAAGTTTCGTTGCCCAGTAGTCAAGGGGATTGTCTACCTCGGTTGGCAGGGTGCTGTCCAAGTAGGCCTAAGCCTGTTGTTTGAGGTCTGCCCAGGTCCACCTGATGCTGCTGCTGCTGCTGCTGCTGCTGCGGCTGGTTAGTAGTTTCCTCACTGCGCTGGTGAAGAAAGCTACTCATCATCGACTGCAGACTGAGGCAGCAGCCGCTGCTGGTGGAGCTGCCACTGCTCCTACCACCCCACCCCTCCCCTGCTGCCATGGCAGCGGAACGCGAGCGCACAGGGCCCACAGTGTCTGAGGATGGACGTTGGCGCAGACAGGCAGAGACCAGCTGACTACATAGGTGGTTTTTTATAGTACGTTATTTTGGCCTCCCTCTCAGCAGGTGTGAAAAAGGCCACCATTTTTGAACGGTAGCGAGGGTCCAACAAGGTGGACAGCCAAAAGTCATCCCTCTGTCTGATGGTTATTATTCGGCTGTCGCTACGCAAGCAAGCGAGCATGCTATGGGCCATTTGTGCCAAGGAATGCGAGGGACTCCCTGCCTCCATCTCCACAGCATACTGCCACGGTGCGTCTGGGTCCTCTGTCTCCTCCTCCTCCTCCTCTACCAGATGCTCCTGCTCCTCCACTCCTGTCCGCTGAGTGGAAAAACCACCACCCATTTCACTCAATAATTCCTGAGCACCAATGTCCTCCTCTACCTCCTCCTCTTCTTCCTGTCCTGCCCCCCCACAGGGGTCATGTGGCGTTGAGATCTGTGCGCCACGTCTACCGCACCCTGACCAGCCATTGTTAACAGCATTTGTTCCAGGACGTGCAACAGAGGAATGACGTCGTTCATCCCATAGTCCTGCCGACTCACGAATAGCGTGGCCTCCTCAAAGGGCCTGAGCAAGCGCAGGTGTCACGCATGAGCTGCCAATGGCTGACATCTAAGTTTACACAGGGAGTACCTTTATCCGCTTTTAACATCAGGAAATCGGTGATGGCCTTTCGCTGTTCGTAAAGGCGGTCTAACATATGTAGGGTTGAATTCCACCTTGTTGCAACGTCACAGCATGAGGAGTCGGTACGGGGGCCCATGGCAGATTACGTGCCTGGCAGCAGCAATGGGAGGCCCGTAATCTGCCAGCACCCTATGTCAAAAAATTCAACACACCAGCAGTGTGTGAGGAGACCTGAAAGTGGCACATGGCAGAGTGTGGCGATGGAGACAGCAGCAATGGGAGGCCGTACAGGGACCCATGACAGACTCTGGACCTGGCAGCAGCATGAGGAGGCGGTATATAGGGGCCCATGGCAGATTAGGGGCCTGGCAGCAGCTATGGGAGGCCCGTAATCTGCCAGCACCCTATGTCAAAAAATTCTACACACCAGCAGTGTGAGGAGACCTGAAAGTGGCACATGGCAGAGTGTGGCGATGGAGACAGCAGCAATGGGAGGCCGTACAGGGACCCATGAGAGACTCTGGACCTGGCAGCAGCATGAGGAGGCGGTATATAGGGGCCTATGGCAGATTAGGGGCCTGGCAGCAGCTATAGGAGGCCCGTAATCTGCCAGCACCCTATGTCAAAAAATTC